AATGCCGAATATAATTCCTTAACCGATTGTTACCTATTTAAGGCAATCTGAAAGATCATTCAAGAGAGGGAGAGAAATAGACAAGTGCTCCGAGTTTTAGAAAGTGTTTCGTAGCTCTCGGGATGTCCGGGGTGTGAAAAAGTGACAAATGAGCCTCCTATTTATAGTTTTCGAAGCTGGCGCACTCGGACCACCGTCCGGACTCGGACGGCCGTCCGGACTGGGACGGCCGTCCCAAATGGCAAAATTACACAGCCGGGACCCCCGGGGACCCGGACGGCCGTCCCACTTTTCTCGGGGCTTGGGACGGCCGTCCCAACTTTGGGACGCGCGTCCCAACCGGCTGGAGCAAGTTGGGACGGCCGTCCCACCTTTGGGACGGCCGTCTCGACCGCTCCGGCCAGTTCGCGCGTTTGGACTCAGGAAGCTTTCCTTGCCTGTTTTGGACGTTAGTTGATGCCGATATGCGTCTGTTGAAGCTTTATCTTCATGTAGGAAGTCTCCTTGGCTCTTATTTGTAATGCTAGACGAGCTTTATCTTGTTACGGGTGATCTCTTTTATCTTTATTTGAGAGACCGGGCAAAATTAGGGGTCTACAGTGATTGAAGTAGAGAATCGACATTCGTCGATATCGTCGCTGATGGACGATCCTGAAAATATCGAGATTTAGAATCATGTTATGGATCTTATCGAAATCTAGGAATATAAAATGTGTGTGTAAAAAGGGGTCTTACTTGACTTGAATGCGTGGTAGGTGTTGTCTGGCCCGTTTTAGTGACTGTATTAGAGTCCGTCGATAATGGATTAACAGTAGTTGGTTGAACAGATCGAGGACTCTTCGATTTTTGTTTCTGAAATTAGAAATCGAAAATAAATGACAAAGAAATATGTATGAGAATCCAAAGTGAATCAGCTATAGACATAGATGGAGAAATAAGACAATGAGAAATCGAGAAAAACCTTCGATTTTTTCGAAGATGAGGTAATGGTGGCAGAGCGCTTGCGTTTCCTGATGAGGGCCGATGGATCTGACTCATCAGAGGACTCCCAGTCCTTCTCCTTCTCAGAGACAACAGTCTTAGAAGATTTCGAGACTGTCGAAGAAAGGAAAACAGTTAACTTGCAATACAAAGAAAACTAAAATATTCCTAAAAGAGGTAGCAAAATCTCACTAAAAGGTGATGGAGTCAAAATCTTGACTCGGTCGATATGGACAAGCCAAGGAGGAAGAAGAATTTGAGGAAGGTTTAGGTAAGGGAAATAGGACAATTTCGACACAGAAATATCTTTGTTTTTGGGTTTGGGACGAAGAGTTTCTTTAAGGGATCTCAATTCTCGAACCCATTTGGGATGAGTTAGAGGTTTGACGATCCCGAAAGGTGCTGTAGGAAAAGTGGGAAGGTGATCGGGACAATACATTTCAAAAGGGGTTGTTCCTTGAGGATTGATTATTTTGTGGTTCGATCGATTAATGTCTGTTTTGTTGGCTAAGGAAATAACAGCATCATAAAAGGTCGATTCTAATTTTAAGGGGTTGTAATATGTTCGATAAAAATTCTCGAATCGAGATATTTGGAGATAGTGGGAGTGTGTACCTTTCTTCGCCTTCGACTTGTCCTGCAACACGAGAGAAGGATGAACAGTCAATTTTTGTTGAAGTATGGCAAAATCAGAATGATTATTCGAAAACCAATCGGTCCACCACTCAGAGAAACCTAAAGTTGATAAATAATTGGATTCAAAAACATAAGTATAAAAATGCATTGGGGTTTTTGACTGCAGTTTGGAGAGCTCTCGTCCGATCGTCGATTCACTTAACTTGGACCTTGGGGAAGTATCGAGAGGGAAAAAAGGTAAGGCTTGACTCAAACCAAACTGCCTCGAGAAAAGTTGAGGGTAATAAGTGACAAGCTTAAGGTCCTTTGGATGAAAACTCGATACTAATACATCTTGAGTCAAATAATTGCTTCATACTTCGACCAGTTCTGACTGTAGTCCCAGAGTAAGAGTAGGAAATTTCGATTTAAACCACGTTGGTCCTCGAAGTTGGTCACTTATTCGTCCGAGATTCACAGTAAAAGGAGCCAAATGCGGACCAAAATGAGATTGAGTTAACAAAAATCTAAGGTAATCACGATGGGTGGTCTCGTCGGATTTATGGCGGGGATGACGAGAAGATAATCGAGCACCCTCTAAATTTAAACTTGGGGGTATCTGGGAAGTTGGGGGGAGGATACTTTCAAAAATCGAGTTTAACCATAATTGGATAAACCAAATAGGACTCGAAAAATTTCCCGAAGCCTTAGGGGTATTCAAAATCTCGACGGCTTCATCAAAAGCAGTATATACATGGGCTAATAAAAGTTTTGCTAAACAAATTCGAGGTTGGCCCGTGTGTAGGAGATAGGCAAGGTTATAAAGTTGGGATGAAATTTGAATGGATCGGGGGCAAAAAACATGAATACATAGCCAATACACTAGGAAGGCTATATGCTCCTCATCAGTTACAACTATCGATGGATCATCGACGAAATGCTTTTCGATAAAATGTCCGTACGCCTTCGATTCCCAATCAATGTTTGACCTTAAAGAATTATCCGAAGGAAAAACACCCTTAAAATATTTTTCCCCTATGGGTTTTAGTCCGGTAATAGCAACAATCTCAAAGAGGGTGGGTGAAAGTGGACCACAAGGTAATTCCAAAGCATGTAAGTCCTTGTTCCAAAGATGGACAACTGACAAGAACATAGTCATATCCAAGTAAGATAAATCGCATCGAGACAGATGGTGGAAATCGAAGATCCCCACATCTTTCCAATGGTTCCCAAACTTTGTTTTTACTCGATCAAACCACCTAACATACAAGGGTTTTTTGTGGGGAGGGCCCGTACGGTATACTTTGGATACAATGTTTAAAAATTCAATTCGAACTTCAGATTGATGAATGGGAGCCTGACTCTTGGAAGAAAGATTGATGGAAGAAAAAGATCCGCTACAAGAACGGATAGGACCCCCAAAAGCATAATTTACATCACCAGCAGTGTAAGGAATCAGTACCTGTGTCTCAGCAACTTTCTGAGAAGCTTCCTCCAACAAAGGAACTGGAGCAAATTTCTGGTTATTAATTTCCAGCAGGTTAGCGGCCAACGAGGGAAGGGGTGGGGCAGAAAAGTCAGAAGATTTGGATGAGGTTGCCATTTCACTAGCAGGTAGAACAGAGGAGAACAGAAGGTTTGAGGATGAAGGTTCAAGGTTGAAGACGAAGGTGCAAGGTAGGAGACGAAGATGCAAAGGAGGAGTAAAAAGTTTGTGGTGAAAAACAAGGGTGAAAAGGTTAAACAATTGTTTAAAGAAACTAACTAGGGTACTGGAAGCGACGGAGGTGAAGGGTAATTAATGAGGCGTGTGCAGTGAGGCGGCAGAACTGACATGATAAGTGACATAAAGTGGAAAAAACCCTAAAACCCCAACAACCCTAAACCCTAAGTTCTGATGGGCCTCCAAAAGGCGGGAATCATGTTGAAAGAATATAAATAAAAACGTTTATATTCTTCCAAGGGGGCATTCTGTTAATGGGAAAATCGATAAAGGGATCGAAAAACGAAGGAAAGAAAAATCGAAAACCATATGATTGGTAAGAGATATCGAGAACGCATTTTCGATGAAATTGGTAAAAGCTGGTAACCACAAAGATAAAAGTACATCGAGAATCAAAATCGAGAATCGAAAAAACAACTTTCGATGCCTATTGTCGAAGTTAGAATAGTACACAATTAAAATTAATAGCAAAATTTCGAATACTCGATGTCTGAAATCGAAATCGAAGGAGCGGTTAACACACAGGGAACGTGGGAAACAGTTTTTAAACCGTGACAGAAATTGAAGGAGGAGCAGTTCCCTTATACGTAAAAACGTGGAGTGCAATTTTAAAACGGTAAGATTAAAGGAACGGACATGTAAGATCGTGGTGATAGTGGTATTAACCACTCTTGGGAGGTCACTTGAAGGATGCTCTATAAATAGAGCGAAGACTGGAAAGGGGAGGAGAGGGGGAATTGACAGAGAGAACAGAAATACTAGTGAGAAATCTATAGGAGAACGACGCAATCATGAAGTTTCTGGCGATCTGGATTTCCATTTTCATTGCCTGCCTTTATCGCTTTTTTTACTTTCCCTGGTAATTTATGTTCATGTTATTTACTTTGATGCAGTTTATGTTCAAGCAACTTTAAGTTCATGTACTTTCGATTCCTTGTTATCTGACTATTTAAGATTATGCATCTAAGTTTTTCGCTATTTACACTTTATGCAATCTCGATTTCCTGCTATTTACATTTATGCAATCTCGATTTTCGATCATTTACATTCCTGCAATTTCGATTCTTTGTCGTTTACACTTAATGCAAATTTGAGGTTTCCGTATTTTACATTTCTTCGCAACTTTATATTTTGTACTGCTCTTCGATTTGACATTTTACTGCTTTCTTTACTTCGAGTGCTTTAAATACAAAATACCAAAAAATAACATTTTCGATTATTAATCTGCACATCAAGTTGCGTTGTTAGTATTTTCAAACATCATGATTTTCGATTCTCATACACATTTCGATTGAAAATCATTTGCTAGCCTAAGTAAAAAGAATCTACGTGGTTGGAATTTGGTTAGAACAAAATCCATTAAAAATCAAAATCGATCAAAATTCCACCAGAAACCATAGGGAAATCATAACTTTACTTGGTCAGCAATGGGAATTCCACGTGCATCGTACACTTATTTTATGAACTGTGAAAGAACAAACAAGAGCAACGTGATGGCGCCAAAAGTTATATTTTATCTTATTTAAATTGATTCAGATACTTCATCATGACCTAGGGCATTATTTATCTGATAACAGCGATCTCCTTATTACATTCGACACAAATGATAGACGGGGATTTCGAGGAAATAATTAAACAAGAAAAAGAGCCCTAAGAATGGCAGAGGAACAAGCATCTTGGATCAGTTGAGAAGGAACTTTTTCAGCCAGAAAGCAGAGAACTTGGGGTATCTTTTCAGGTTGTCCTTGTAATCCACATATACGAGGCCAAACCTAACTGTGTAACCAGCATCCCATTCATAGCTGTCAGAATATGACCATGCATAGTACCCCTTCACATTAACACCATCTCTGCAAGAATAAACCAAAAATATCAACTAAATAATCCAATATGATGTCCATGGTTTCATACTATCTATGTGATAGTAGTAATTTAACTGTATGTGTGTGATATATTGATTAACTGTATTGGGTGTATCCAGTTTCTGATAAACTCTGTTATAAAGAAATATGAAATTTCACACTCTCACTTGATAGCTGCATGAAGGATTTTGAGATGGCTATCATGATATCTGATCCTGATTCCATCCTTGCGGGCTTCACTCACTGGTTTTGAGTCATTCCTTCCTTCAGCAACACCTGAAAAAGAGTTGTGAAATTAACACTATGAGGCACTTAGTGTTAAGGTAGCAACTTATATATTATATCAGTTATGATGAACAACGAGAAATTGACAAAACAAAAATAATTTGTGATGCATTTACCATTTTCTGTGATGAAAATGGGAGGATTCTTGTAAGTGTCCCTCACGTATGTTGTAAGATTGTAAAGTCCGCTGGGATAAATAAAGAGCCAATTCAAATCAGTCTGCACAATCAGAAAATTTCCCTTTGTTAGTTTTAACACAAATCATGTTCACTATTTTCTCAGAAAAAACAAAAAAAATGTTTACCACCAAATTTGTGGTTTCACCAACTTTTGATATTTTTCTTTTCAAGTTTAAACACTCACATGCATTTGTAAAACAGCATATCCTGTGAGGTTTATTTATAATTTTTATTTATTTATTTACAATTAGAAGAGAAATAGGAAAAGAAAAGAGAGAAGTAAAGGTAAGATAAGTAACATGATAAAAAAAATTGTAAAGATGTAGTATTTTATTAATTTTTGCAAAAATGTTTGAAATTAATGAAAAAGATTCTCTCTTGATAGGATTGAAAAACATGGGTAAACCACAAATGATACAATTAATCATTAGTATTTTTCAAAAACAAATTAATTGGGTGATAATAAATAAGAAAGAACAGAGAGAATTAATTCATCAAATACTAAGATTATTTGTAAAGGAACAGTATAAATTATTGACAAATTTAATATCAATATATCAATTAATGAATATATATAAACCAAATAAGTATAAATAAAATGTTCAAAACTGTATGCAACATTATCAACCTATAAACAAAACTAAAACAATATCAGTTTAAAAGTTTAACAGGAAAGTTAAGTATTTACCGGGGTCCCAAGAGATACACCGTTCTTTTCCGCTGTGAACAGAAGGGGAAATTGTTGCATGTTTAGTACTCTTTAATGGTGAAAAAATGTCTTATGAATGATGTTATAATATTATATATGTACTTACTAGAGATAGTGGCTAGCATGTCTGTGTAGAAGGTCCTGTTGGTGGTGACAGGTGCAGCATATTCTGCAAAATATGTGCTGTAATAATTCACACCAAGAAAATCGTAGGAACCTTTGAGACTTTCTGATTCAGCTGGTGTGAATTTGGGGAGTCTAGAACCCACTAAAGATCTCATACTTTGGGGATAGTCACCGTATGTAACTGGATGAGCATACCTGAGAAAATGAATCTTTCTTCAATCACCTTCTTTGTAAATTCATATCTTTATATGTCGAAGCTCAATCTCCCCGGATTTTTGTCACTATTTTATTTAATGATATAAAAACTTACCATCCGAAAAAGAATTCCAGAGCTCGTGTTGCAGCCTTGCGATCAGCATCACTATTGGTTTTTGGTTTGAAGAAGTGAGTCACTATGGTGATTCCAATTTTTCCTTTCTGGTGAGCCTATGGAACCATATATATGTTCAAATCTAAGGACTTGTGTTGTTATCATTGAAAATAAGAGAACAGGAAAATTTGAAAAACAATAAAACAACGTTGTGGAATCAAATCACCAGACTCTATCTGAGTAAGAATTATTTTTGTTTATTATCTTGACAAACTTTTCTTTATAAAATCTTTCAAAAAATAAAATATTTTTTACATAGACTAATATTAGTTTATGTATAAAATTTAAATAAAAAAGTTGATTAGAAAATTTTTATAAAAAGTTTATTTTAATTCTCTATAAATTGAGAAATATTTTAAAAATTATATAAAAAAAGCTTTTATAAATTAAATTATATACAAAATAACTTTAACTTATGAATAAATTTATTTCATTTGTACCTTATCTTGAAAAGAAAAAAATTGAAAGGTGTATAAAGTACATGACAGCTACTAAAAGAATGGGTACCAATGCCATGTGATCTGTCATAAAGAAGATCACCATTCCCAAGTATAGGTCATTGACCCTTATCTCTATCATACAGAACCCTATTTTAGAATACTTACTGTGCATGCCACTACATTAGGAACTTTTTTTGTTTTTTTTTCACTTTTCTGTTTGATATGAGAAAACAATGGTGATCAATGTTCTTGGAATGTGTATATTTTTTATTAAAAAAAAAAAAACTAACCTGATATTTTCTCTTGTACAGTGTAGCAGCGGTGGCATGCGCAAGAAGTAAGTTATGGCCGACGATGTAGGGTTCAGTGGCTGAGTCACCAACGGTGCAACTTCCAGCATATTTAGAGCACCTACCTGGTGCGAAGTAGCCCGCACCGTATCCAGCCTGGGCGAATGAAAATGGCTCGTTCAATGTCACCCAATGTTTAACTCTGTCCCCAAATGTCTTGAAGCAAAAATCCGCATAATTATGAAAATCAGCCCTAACCATAGTCAAGAGTCAGCGTAACATTAACATACTTTGTGTTTTCTTTTAATGTTTATAAAAAAAAAAAAATTAAAGAACTTACGCTATTTTAGAACTACGAAACCCTCCATACTCATCTTCAAGAGCTTGTGGCAAGTCCCAATGAAAGAGAGTCACGAAGGGTTTTAAGCCTGTCCCAAATAAAAATATCAAGTTAGGAACGAAGAGGTATCTAACTCACTCTTTTCACCTACATATTTGTCAAAGTTAGATTTCAACATAAATCCAGAATGATAGAAGAGAACAAAAATTGAAGAATTAGATGAGATTTACCATTTGCTATGATTTCATTGATCAGATCGTTGTAGAATTTAACCCCCAAAGGATTAACAGCTCCTTTTCCCTCTGCAGGAAATAACTTAACATTATGATTGCAATAACTATTTATGAATATAAGAATACAAAACTCAACGTAAGTTTCAAATAAGGAATATATATATATATATATATATATATATATATATATATATATATATATATATATATATATATATATATATATATCTTACTTGGGAATATGCGGCTCCATGAGAGAGAAAATCTAAAGGAATCCAACCCAATTTCCTTCACTATTTTTATGTCACCCTGCGAAATTTTATTGTCAGTTTCATCCTCTCTAATGTAATAATATACTGATATCAATTATTTTTTTTAGAGGATTTTATTTGTTGTTATTTAAGTGTACCTTGTATCGATGGTAAAAATCAACTGATGTTTGACCAGAGCTGTGATCCCAAATTTTGTCTACTCATCCCACATGAAAATGAAAAATGCAATCTTGTAAGAAAAATTTGATTTTTAATTACTGGTGTAAGCTATTCATTCCAAAGGATTATAATAACCTCCGTGCAGTTTAGTGTAGGTGTCCCATATACTTGGGCCTTTGCCATCAATAAATGCTGCTCCTTCTACCTGCATAATTTAGAACAATCATCGAACTTTGCATTCAAGACACAGTGAACACAGATCTGAACAGTTTGCAGAAAACTATATTAAAAGGATAGATGAGTTGGAACGGATTTACAGTATTGATCTAATATCTGATAATATATAGAATATAAAATTAATATATATATATATATATATATATATATATATATATATGGAACCAAAATGGAAGTAAACTGCTTATTTTAAATTTTAGTTTAAAATAGATAGTTAGAAGGAAAAAAACGAATATGAAAAGCTTATGGATTTGACAAAGAAGTGTGATTGCAATGTCAGTTCACTACTGCACAAAGATATCGATCATCATCTGCATTTCTTTTTAGGTACATGAGTTATTCTGAAATAACTTTAGAAAAAAGTTATTTTTCATTTTAATCATTAACTATTTAAAACATGTAATGAAAAACTGGGTGGCTATATACATGCATAAATCTCAGAAATATAATGTAAATATGGTCAAATGGTGAGTAAAATGCAGCATTATGAGTAATGAGTGACCTGATACGCGGAAGTGCCTACTCCAAACAAGAAATCAGAAGGAAAAGAGCTCTTATTGAACGTGGAAGCATAGTGAGTGGGGGGCACGTTTGGTGCTGCAGCTTCAGGGCCACTTGCCAAAACGGTGGCCAAAGATAGAAGGCAGAGAAGGGAAGAGGCTGCAAGTTTCATGGCTTCTTCTGATACGTACCCTAAACTCTCCCCAATCCATGCTTTTAAATACGAAAAAAGGGTTTCATTCACATTTACTGAAGCAGTAATTAATTTTTACCACTTTACATTTTTGCTTCAAGTCAGTGTCTCTCTCTCTTACTGTTATGTCATGAAAGGGATGGGTTTGTCAGCATCATTGGTCGTCATCAGTGATGAGAAGAAGGAACATTGTCCTCCCTGTTTGATTGCCATGTTTGAAAAAAAAAAAAAAAACAGTTCTGTATGTTTTGAAAATTAAGAGAGATGATTATGCTATTTTCAGAGTGGAAAAGAGATAGTTAAACAACTTCATTTTTAACCAATATAATGATTTTTAATTCTTATTTTAACGATAAAACCTTCTCATGATTATTATATTAATAAGCCTAATTGTTTAAAGAATGTTTTTGGATGTCCAATTATCGCTACTGTTTCAGAGGAATCCTTTTATAAGTGATGTCTTTTCTTTTTTTCTTTCTTTTCACTTGATCCAATAATTAAAAATAGTGTACTTGGCAGAACTATTAAATCCACAACAAGTGATGGATTAAGATGAGGAGAAAATGGTAAAAGGAAAAATTTTATATTTTCTATACTGAATTTATTTTTAAAATAATAACATTATGATAAGACCATCTTATATTATTTAATTTATAATGTATATATTCATCCGAAGTCGGGATAATAAACATTTTCGGATCACCAAAATATATGATATATTATACGCATACGACGTAATAAAAAAATTTAGATTCAGAAAAAATTAAGAATTTTAAATAAAAAATTAATATATGAATAAATATATTATATACTTAATATTATTAATTAAATTTAAATTTTTAAAATAAATTTTATTTTATCTATTATTTTAAAGAATGAGTTTATATTTTTTTGAGATATTTTTAAAATTTAAATTAAATTTTTTATTTGTATTTTAATATAAAATAGAGTTTCACAAATATTAAAATAATTAATTATGTATAAAAATAAATTTTTTTATCAATATTTTATATTTTTATATTATAATACACATTAATTTATTATAATAATAAATAACATATGTATTTGTTATTTTTTATTTTAAACAAATTATTGAAAGATATTTTCTTTATTTTTAAATTTTTTGTCTTATATCTTTTTTGGAAAAAAAATAAAACTATAAAGAAGAAATTTAAAAATAAATAAGTAATAAAAAATAAAAGATAAAAATATAGAAAAGATAAAATAAATGTATAATCATAAAAGTTGTAGTAAAAAAATATAAAAAATGAGAAAAAAATTAAAATTAAAAATACAAAAATAAGAGGAAAATTATAAAAAGGAATAAATAAATAAAAATTTAAAAAAATTATATTTATATAATATTTTTTATTTAATTTTTAAAATATAATTATTTTATATATATATAAATGATTTGTGAGAGGGATCATGATTCGACCTCGTAATTATATATATACTGTCCTTGTAATATTAATAAAAAAATATTTCCTTAAATTTTTAAAGATTAGATAATTATTATTTTATAAAAAAAAGTTCATAATTTTATTTTTTTTCATTCAATCTAATAAAAAAATCAACTTAATCCATGTATTTTAAATAATTTAAAAACATCATATTTATTAATATATGTATAAGTTAAAAAAAATTCTATTTTTAAATTATTTTTACGAATCAAATCCACTGAAATTTTAAATATTTTTCATTTCAAGAAATCAATATAAATCTTTTAAAAATAATTTAAAATTCTCTTTTAATAATCAAAATAATTTTATTAAATGGTAAAATTTTAATTATTTTTAAAATAGTTAATTTTGTTATGAAATATTTTATTAAAATAAATTATCCTTTATAAAATCCTCTTTCCAACAAAAAATAAAGTTATTCTTAAACTAATGAATAAATTCCATTTCGGGTAGCTATGAATAAATGTGGTCCATGTTTATGAAATAATGAAATAGATATAAGTACTACATGACACATGACATGACCAGTATAAAAAATAAAATAAACTTTTGAAAATTGAGAAACACTTTAAATTATACGATTTTTATGTCCCCGGATATCATTGGTGAAATTTGTCGTTTATCGAGCACATGGCACACCAAAAGAAATCAAGGTCACTTTATGAAAGCTTAGGGTTTTTATCGTTGGGATCTAAAACTTCAATTTCACCAACCATTTAAATTATCTCAATCAATTGAGTTTAACTGTTACACATTTTATATACTAAATTTAATCTAATTAAAATTATTGAATAATTTTAATATTACTAACAATAATAATAATTAATAAATATATGTTTAAATATTAAATTATTTGAGTATTAAAAATAGTTTAATCTAATTTTAAAAATATTTTTCCCACTATTGTTCCTATATATATTTTTCCTTTGCAAGTATAAATCATTCAAAATGTTCAACTCCAACTATCATCTACTTCACTGTAGCGTTACCTCCCAACCCTAAGTTCATTGTAGAGTTAAATCCACATCACATGCCACTTTCACCAACTTTTCCATCGGATTTTTTAGTAAAGTAAAAATTAAATTCATAAATTAAAATCAGTTTATCTATAAAATAAGAATAAAATTTAAGAATATCCAATAAAACTTTTAAAAGCAATTTTTTTTTTCATTAAAATGTGCGTGAAAGATCCATTAAATATGAGAAATACAATATTGTTATTATTTATTATTTGATATAATCATTATGTTTGGATTTATTATGATACGGATCCTATATTAAATGTAGGAGGTAATCTTATCTGATTATTTATACAGATCTCTTATTATTTTATAAGTAAAGCTTTAAATTAGTAAAAAGATTATTTTCATTTAATTTAAAGACAACTTGAAACCTCAAAATTTTGTATTTAAAACCTCATTCTTTGAATTTTCCTCAATTAATTACTACTTAAGCCAACAAGTGGATACAAATATTTTCGTATTATTATGTTAAAAGTGTTTCCTTTCTCAATCACAAACACAGATTTGGTATTGACTTTGTCTTTGATATTGACGACAAAAAGTATAAAAATTTCCAGTCATTTCTGAAATTATTGTCCCGTGTACTTTACATTTTTGTATTTATCAAACAAAAATCAAAGCTTCACGCATCATTATATGTATTCCACAACGATGACATATTTGACATCATTATAAGCTTTTTTTTTTACAATTAAAACAAGGATAAGATTACAGTGGAAAATCACAATTAAATGATAACAATCTCTTGGGCCCAGACTAAAGATATTGATAGGAATTAAATGAACATTTATAAATCTGAAAAATGTCTGATATTGATATATAGAAAATAAAAGTAAATTTATCTACCAACTTGGTGCAATAAAATAATGACGTGAGATCCCAATCTTGAGACTGTAGAGTGAGTGAGGGAGAAGATGCGACATGACCTACGTAGAAAGAGTAGTTATTGCTGCTCCACGTGTACACAATCATACCCACTTCTCACCCATTAATCATTTCGCCGAAACGTGAATAACGTTCATCATCGTTCAGACAGTACAAGTAAATTTACGTGGCGTATGACGTAAATTTCCTCTTTAAACAAGAAAGAGGGGTTTATTTTGTCTTTCAATTAAAATTTGTAAATATATATTATAATCAAACCGTTAACAGGTTTAGATTTTTTTTATTATATAATTAAAAAATATAATATTATATATAATTCAAATTACGTAATAATAATCTACAAATTAAAATTTATTACAAACTAAAAATTAATAAAAATTAAAACTTAGTACAAACTAAATTATCTAAATTATATAATACACATAATAGGAATAATAACCTAATAAATTACCTACTAAAATGGTTAAACGAAAAACTTTACTCATTGTTCTCTAATTTGTGTGATATCATATTCTGACAATGGAGATAGATCTTGAAATACCTGAAACATTAATTTGACTCTTGTAAACATGCAACACATATAAAGTTAAATAAACTTAACTAATGTTAAGCAATTACATCCGTCCAAGAATAAGTTATACTCGCACAAACTATGACTCTCATTCAATACATAACATAAGTAACCACATTCAAATGAGTACTGTTTGCTTATTACACTTGAAATGATGAATAAAATATAATGTTATTTTCAAAATTTAAATACAAACAATAATTATGATATTCACTTATTATATAAGTTTCTAATCTTAGGATAAATGAACTGCAAAGTCTTTGTTATGGGTTTTCCACTTAGAACATTAGTTCTAGACACTATTCTAAATGAAAAAAAGTCATATATTATTCAATACCTTTTCTATTTTCACTAGCAAATTTCAAAAATTCATCAACTCCCTTTTCGTACTCTTCACTAATACGACGGACATTCATCCAACTTCGATTCATATTATGTTATAAAGTTTCAGTCACTCCTAGAGATTCAAAATTTATATTTAAAAATAAATTAATATACAAACAACAAAGCACATAAATGGAGTGTGTAAACCGAAAATTCACTCAAACAAAATAATGACATTCCAATAACAATCCAGGTGGAGACATTCATACAATGACGTGATTGAGATCTTCAAAAACAATCACGGATTCAATTTGAACATATATCAGGAGACATAGAACACTAACCTCGAGTAAACACGAAAACGATTTTAAACTCGAATCCAATCGGGAAGAAATGTCAAATTCGTAAAATGAGACACAATGTTGATGTTCTTCACTGCCAAAATGATCGAAAATGGTGTGGAAAGATGGTTGTCATCGTCGTTCTCAAAAACCCTTGCGGCGCTAGATGTGGGAGTGGGTCTAGAAGAGAATAAAAGACACTTTTACGTCACACACCCTAGCATGTGACGTAAAAGATGGTTTTTTACGTCGCGCACCCCCCACGCGACGTAAAAAGGTGCAGCGTAAAAGAGGACTTTTTATGTCACTCCTACAATATGCGACATAAAAGTTTCACCTCTTATTTACAAAATTGTCACCGTATTTTATTTACGTCGAATATTTCGACATGCGACGACAATTGAATGACGTAAAATGTCATTTTTGTTAATAACTTCTTTTCATATATTTATAAATCAATTATATTTATATATATATATAATAAATATAAGTTTTTTTGTTATATTTTAATAAATATCAATTTCTTTATTACCCAGAATGTGTTCATGTCCTTCTATAGGATTGTTAGGGACTTATGTTATTATATTTTTTTTAATTAAATTTTTATATTTAAGATATTATTTATTTTAAAATTTAAATTTATTATAATTTAAAAAAAAATTGAAAGATTAAGAAAAATTAAGAGAAAATATATATAAATTATTTTGAAGTAGAGTCTTAACGATGTAGATTATAATATAAATAATATATTATTTATATTTTTTAATTAATTTTTAATGTATAATATATAATATTATACTTAAATATAATAAATATTTTATTTTAAATCTAAAATTCAAATCAGTTTTATTGAGAAAACAAATTAAAATTTAAAATAATTTAATTTTGATAATATTTATATTCTTTTAATTAATTTGTAATTGTAACTTGATTTCATCTAATTTTTTATTAAATAATTATTCAAATTAAACATGAAAATCGAATCGAATCAAATTTAATTTGATTTCATTTTAATTTACTATAAAATCTGTATCAAATCAAATTAAATTATATAGTTTTGTTTGCATTATTTTTGTGATATTTGTTATATTGTAAATTTTTAAACATTTTCAAAAAAATGTAAAATGTTTTTTTAAGATTTTTTTAATATTTTTTAATAAAATGTGTCAAATAAAAGGGTGTATTAAAAATTTCTATGATTATTATATTATTTATAATTTTAATTTTTTTACCTATAAATAAATAATATAATTTTATAATTAAAAATATAATGCAAATTTATTATTGATTAAATATAAATAAAATATAATCAAACGTAAGCACAATTTTTAAGAGATAAATGTGTTTGTTAATTCTAATTAACTTTAAATATATAATTTTACACTTAAATATAATAAATAAATAAAAATTTATTTATAATTTAAAATGCGAACTAAATTATATAATTTTAAAAAGTGAATTTAGTTTTGACTCTTGAAATCGATTTCGATTATTCTTTTTAGATTAATATGATTTAAAACACCTGTTCTTGACCATTTTTCACTTCTAATGACACGCATACATAACTTATAATGACACATTCAAAAATGAGATTAGGTTATAAAATATCTTTGAATACCAATTTTTGTGCAGTCATAAAATTAAATTAATATTTAAAAAACAAAAAAATTATTAATAGTACATAGATAATATGATAATAGTGTGATCAAAATATTATTATATATCTCTTACCTTTAATTTGACCAAAATATTATTGTATCTCTTACTTTAATCACGATTAACATAAGAGTTATCATTATATGTAAAATATAATGACTATTTGAATTAGTGAATATTGTTATTAATAGTACATATAATAATGGTTGTGACCAAAATATCAATAACAATTAAAGAATTATCATTTTAAGACAATTTTTATTCATCATTAAAATCCTATTTGAAGTAGTGTAAGATAAAATAAGATAAATTTTAATTATATTCAATATATGCCACGTAATAAATTAGAAATAATGAAATATAATATAAGTTATTGTCCGATGATATAGTTATTGTTTGATGAAAATTACATATAATTTACTAAAAGTTATTTTCCTAATTATGGAAATTATATAAACTTGTGTTTTACTATGCATACACAATTTTAAAATTGTAAAAGTTGAATATTTATAAAAGCAAAATTATTATTTAAATATTAGTATATTTAAAGATATTTGAAAAAATATAACCACAAATTATTTTTTAGAAAATAAAAATCCTAATTAAACTTAAAGGAAAAAAATGAATATTTTAAACTTTAAAATGGAAAACATTTATTTAAGTTTATCATTAAATCGTTTGAGTAAAATCTCTCTACCTTATGCAATGAGCATTTAAAATAATTAATATTTTCAAAATTTTAAAATAATAAATTTAAAATATATATTTTAAGTTTATTAAAATAAAACATATGAGAATTATTTAATGGGAAAGGTGGTTAATTACTCCATTTGAGAAATCGATACTTAAAAAGAAAATTAATAAATGTATGGAAATTTAGAAAGATAAATAAATAAATATATATATATATATATATATATATATATATATATATATATATATATATATATATATGGGACTCAGAAGATGATTTAAAAAAATATTAATTTTAGATATAAGATTTATCAAATATGAAAAAAAAATCCTTATTGTACAAACAATATCAAATTGAATAGCTATAGAATTCAACGAAAATTTATAATCTCAGACATTGAAATTATCTAGCCCAACTCGGTATAATATGGGCTGGGTCCAACACGTAAAGTAATAACTCTTTTTTTTTTTATCAATTTTGAAATGTTAAAAAATTAGTTTAATATTTCTTTCAATATCTAATTTAGTATGAAAATTCATAACATGAAAAATTATGTTTTACATTTATTAAATTTAATAATTGTATTAATTAATAATACAGCCTTATTATATGTCGTAATAATCCAAAATTTACCATCTTCATTATACATATAGCTTTCTGAGTGCACTATCAACAAAACCAAGATTCATGTCATGCATAATAGGAACATATAATGGTAAAATTCAATGCAGAGCATGAGAAGATAGAAAGTTGATTATGCTTCTATAATCTCAATTATTAAAGATAGTGCCCAGTTTCACTGAACAAGCAAAACATTACATCTTGGTGCAATCAGTGGGCTTAAAGGAAACAGTCTTCCTCAGTAAATCGAATCCAACCAAGTGATTCATCTGCGCTAAGTTTCCAAAGATGGAACCGGTTGCCACTGGGGCAAAAGCAAAGCACAAAACATTATCAGAAACACTGACAAAAGTGTTCAAAGAATTCAGCACAATGTCGGCACCACTAAAATGTGCAATAATAGGTGGAGCCTCAACTGCATTATGTGCGTGAGTGCTGTAACAAAGGCTTAGAATTTGGTCTGTGCTATTAACACGTTCTAAATTGATCTTAGCAGCCACTTCTGACTCCAATTTGGCGTAAAATTTTTCTGGCAAAATAGTCAGAGTTGTTCCTGAGTCGATTATGATGTTACCCTTTTCACCATCTGACGTTAAATCATCTACAAACTCTATTCTTTTGGATCCCACACTCATTCCCTCCAATTTCAGATAATAGAAAGTATCGACCGAACCAGGAATAATTGGTGTAGAAACTGTTCCAGGACCATCCACCACAGCATTTTCTCCAAAATTTAATTTACTAGAGCTTTTGGAATCAAACATAGGTACCAAGCAATAGGAGAATTTGTAATCAATTGAAGGACCTATCTGGGAGATAAGTGACACAACACCACCTCCTAGCCCAACTATGCCAGAGCCTTCAGAGTCAAATGTACCAGCATTGTTAACACCACAGCCAATGGGAATATTGGGAAATTCAACAGAGGAATCTAAAATATCAAAATAAACAGCAATTAAAAAATCATAAGATATATATATATTCGTTGGCATCACAAAACATGCAAATGACCTAAAAAGGTACATTCCGAACCTGTAGTAGAACCCAAAGTGAGTGTGTCAAAGGCAAGAATTCCTTCTGAATGAGATCCATCACCGTATGAGATGGCATACTGGCAAATGGGATCAGCATCAGAGTAGCAATAAGTTTGACCTAGAGAATCACACACCCTGGAATAGCAAGAGACGGGTTGGTAGGTTTTGGATTTGGAAGGGTCAAACAATGGACTGGTTTGATTGTAACACTGTTCGCAAGGCTTGCACTGTGACCAAATGAGATCACTCCCCGTGTCAGCAATGCCCATCACTTCAAAGGGTGGCGTTCCGATGGCGTACTTCACGAGATACTCTCCTTGGTTGGAGGTCATCACAGACTGCGGTGTGTTGTGGGAAGCTTTTGGTTTTGGGTAGAAGTGATTCACACGGTTGAAAGAACGGTGGAAAGAGTCGTTCAGTTTCTGAAAATGAGTTTGGTTGGGGTTGTAGAATGGAGACTTTGGAGAGTCTCTGTGAATAAGATGAACACTGAAACCTCCTTTCAGTGGTTCAGTGAAGGGCACTGCATAACAGCAAAGGGTTGAGAATGTGAAGAGAAAGAGAAAACAGTGATGAATGGCCATGCTGTGAGTTATATGAACGTATATGGATGGATATACAAGACACTATATATAGTGGTTGTGGAGAGTAGTGATTATAGAAAGAATAATCCTTTAGAATTCCATTGAACTATCACGATTTAATGACAGCAATGATTTGAATTCCATGCATGGGAGTTACAGAATGGAGATTGAAGAATTTTTATCCTCACTCAATCACTTAAACACTGTCATTTAGAGAGTTTAGTGAACTATTCAAGGTTCAATAAACCAAATAAGTTTTACTTTCAACTATTACAAGAATTGATTTAGAAACAAAAACGTATAGAGACTTCAGAATACTGTTATAGTTATTGAAAATATCTGTTTCTAAAATAGCTTTTATGATCATTAAAAACTGAATATAAATAGAGATTAATTCTTAAAAAAAATGCAAATACTCCTTCAATAATATCCATAGACTATTGTAGTATGTTTATATTTTTATATTATGCATTTTTAAATTTATTAATATAGAATTTTATTAAATTTAGTAAATATTTTTAGTTGTCATAACCTACAATCGATTGCCTTAAAAAAACTATACTAGAATTATTATATTCCATTGTTTAATTTAGTTTTACCCTTTTCTAAAACTACATGAGAAGATAATGAGAAATAGACTTAAATATATTTATAACACGTGTAGGATTAGTAAGCTTTAATTTTAATTTATAAAAAAAAATACATTCATTCTTAAAACAGTTAAAATTTTATTTTTATCTCTATTATAAGTGGCACTTCTTAACAACTTATATTATCATCAAAAGTTACGTATCTATTCGAGAAACACTCGTTAAGGTTTGTTTTACAATGTCTACCATTTGATATCGTAAAATAAATACTAGATTCTTAAAATAAGTATTACTTTTTTAAAGAAAAATAAGCATTATATATTTACCTTGAAATGAAATAGAAATAAAAAATAATAATTTTAAATTTGAATTATTAATGTCAAATAAAAAAATTTAAATCTCAAAAAAGTTAGTAACGCCAAAGTAATTTAAAATTGTTAATCGTGTGTATGCAAGTGGCTAAGTGTATAATTAATAAAATATGACTAAGAGGTGGTTAATAATATTTGCAATTGAGTATTTATATAAAATATCATGTTGTGTATAAGTAATGTAGTATCCAACATAATTAATAAAAGTCATAATATATCTCATATAGTTTAAATAGACTATTTTACATATTTTAATTGATATTTTTAGTCAATTTATTTTATGTTAAAACTTTAACATTATGTTAAAATAAAAAATTAACTTATTTTTAGTTATTTTCTTAACATAAAAAGTGTCCTGTAAATCAAAAATACCCTTTATCAAATTTGAAAAGTTTCGTTACAGGACGTATCGAAAATTTCACATGTATCTCATATACCAAATATGATTTATATACTCTCCATATATTTTCATAATGTTTTTTTCATTCCATTCTCTCACTAATCTCTTGGGTGATAGTTGTGTTCTACCTTTTATCTACAATAATTTTCATCACTTCATGTTCTAGAAATTTTCTCAACAAACAATTCAACCCTAATTCCAATCTTTCATTTTTCTTTTTTCTTCCTTTTTTTTCTTGTTTTGTCTTTCCCTTAATTTTAAATAATGATATATAAATAAAAAAATGACAAACCTCTTATATTAATATAATAATAAAAAAAATATTTATATTTCCACTTTTTTCTCTCTTACTCGTTCAAAAATGATGTATGATCATTTATTTAAAGGAAGTTGTCAAAATATCATATTCCCTTTATCCCTAGTTATATGTTTCTCTATCAATATATGATTTCCTTCTTTCTTCTATGATTTTCTTAAGGGTACGTCTCCCTACTTCTCTCTTTTCTCCACATACGCTTGTTATTTTCTTTTATCATCTACCTTCATGTTCATCTTTGTTCTGTTTTTTAAGATTTCATTTAAAAAATAAGAAAGAAAATCAATGCAGACAGTGACTCGGTTATATTACACACATGTTTTCTCCTTTTATAAGCTGTTTTGTTTTTACCAGTTAGAGCAAAGGGCAAGAGAAAAATATCCCTTTGAATTTTTTTTTCTTTGAAATTCAACACAAAAATCTAATAAGTCAAAGGAGAAAAAACTAAAGAGAGAAGAATTTGGCTCCCTATGCTAATTCTTTTTGTTCCCAATCCTAAATCTTCTTTTTCCTACCTTGTTTGGCAAGGTACTGTATGTCATGTCGGTGGTTCTCACTTTTTTGCAAGTTCGCAAACCCCCCGATTGATTACTAATAGCATGATGTTATTTATAATAGCTTTTGATTTTTCTTTTTGAAAGCTTATATATAAAGAACACTACTATATCTTATCCGTGTCATAGTCACCACCAGTAATCATTCAAGTTAAACAATATAATGATGATTTATCCATTTAGTAGGAATTCGAATATCTACTGATTTAGAATACGTCAACGTAGTATTTGTGCAACTCAACCACTCTACCGTTCAAATTTGTGGCAGAATGGTTTTCATTCAGGCAAGAAGTTTGAATGAGTGTGGGGTACAGGTGGGTGCTGGTCCACCTAGACCCTAGCAAAATAATAGAAATATTAAAATATAGAATAAATAGTAAAGCAAATATCTTGCAAAATGGAAATGAACACGTTACTCAAGAATGGTTTTAGTCCAAAGAAACACGTACCATTTCGAAGCATGATCCACAAAAAAAAGAATAAAACCAACTCAACCGCATGAATTTAACGTACAGGATATATAATAGTTTGCATTCATTTTACTTCTCAGTGTAGGAAAAAAAAAAAAAAAGTCTCGGTGCAATCACACAGTACAGATCTTTTAGAACTTTCCCCTTAATTAAAAACCAGCCCAACCAGCTGGTTGAGTAGTTGGCTTACTCTCAAAGGCCTTTGCCTCACCAAAACCCTGAGACTTACCTCCAGCACTGCTAGGTCTTTGCATCTGTGAGCTGCCAGCGGGTACAGCACTGAAGCTATCTGTTCCGAAACCCCAGGAATCAAAATTAGTAGCGAGTGGAACAGATTGCTTGTTCTGCAGACCATTATTTGTCCTTACAGATTTGCCAGTATTTTCTGCCAAATGGGCCTTTTGTTGTTGGGGTTCCCCAGCAAATGCTTGCCATGACTTTGGTTCTGAACTAGGAGTTTTCCATTCAGCTCTATCCTGCTGTTGCAATGTAAAACATGTAATATCAGAAACACTATCTAAAACAAAGTCATCAAGGAAAATGACTTGAGATGAAAACAACAAATGCTTATTACCACAGGTGCAGATGATGTAACTGCAGGAGAGGTTTTCAAACCCTCTTTACTTGGTGAAGGAGTCCGAGCTGCTAGTGCTTGCTTGAGATCCTGCAATTCTTGCCTTTGAGATCGGCAGATAGCAGAAAGCTTTTCAAACTTTGATGTTATTTCAGCTTTTTCCCCGTTAGCTTCCTTCAGCTGCTCTTTGAGTTTCTCCACTTCAGCCTCTAATGCTTGTTCCCTTTCGGGTTTGTTACTAGGTCCAGAGTTGAGCTTAGTGGTGTCGAATTCAGCAACAAAAGTGTTAAAAGCCTGGTTTTGAAAGTTGGCTGTATTCTCCTTTCGATCTTTATCTTGGAATAAATTTATTTCAAAATCCTTTGAGGGTGCGGTATCAGGCTTGTGTAATTTTCCATGTGTACCGCTTTTCACAGTATGAGTTTGCGCATTAACCACTCTGCTAGTACCAACATTTTTCACTATTTGTTCATTTTCAGGACGACCTCTATCTTCATCAAAAATTGGTTTGCTCTTGTCCTCACTGACAAGTGAATCCTTTGCATGCTGACTAGACCAGAAAGCACCAAGCTGCCCCCCATCGCCCCCTCCCCTAGAAGCAAGGGATGGCTGTGGTGTAGTTTTGTGTTCTCCAGATGAAGGAGGAGGAGGTGGGTTCCTACGAGGCATTGGAGGTGATCTGTTTGAGGGCATTGGCATACCTGCAAAAATTTTGTAACATTATCAGTTTTCTGAGTATGTATTGAGGGGAAAATTACAACTCCAATCTTCTGCGAAGGCATTTCGGCATCTTCACATCAAGGGTAACATTATGACCTTCATGATTGTTTGGTGAGGGTGAGTCAGGAGGTCTATCGGGTAATGATTTCTGTAGATTAACAGGCAGTTGCTCATTAACACGAAACCAGACCTGTCACCAAGGTAGAACATCCAAAGTCAGCAATTGATTGCCCTAATTCTAGTACCTATGAATGCTATTGATGGATGATCTATGACCAACCTAAACTGATGGAGATGAATGGCCAATCAAGCAAAGCGCTTGCCTGCGTGATATCTGGTCTGTCATCTGGTCTAGCTTGGAGCATGTCTCTTATCAAGTCCGTGATAGATGAATCGTATTTTGGTAAATCAGGAATACGGTAGTTTCCATTTAAGACTTGAAGCTTTGATTCCCCATCAAAAGCACTTTTGAAGTAGCATATGCGAAAAAGAAGACATCCAAGAGCCTATATATTCCACCAGTATGATTCCTCGATTAGCATAAACTGATTTGGCAAATATGGTACTGAAAAATTTGATTTTAGGTATGCATGACTTACCCATATGTCCACTTTCTCATTAATGACTTCTCTCAGGAACAGATCCCACATCTAATATGCACAAAAATATGAATATTTATATCACACATGACCATAAAATTTTTGGTACAAAAAAATAAAACATTTGTGTATCACACATGATAACAGGTGCAAACCTCCGCCTAACCATTAGCAGTACTGTCCAGGGAATGAGTATATACTTAACCCCAGAAAGAACCAAGATCAATCCTGTCCAGTGCCCACCACGTGGCCAATCCAAGGATAGAACCCAGGCACTGCCATAACTTGGCATAGGCAATGGTGGTTTCACCACAACTTTCAGTTGTGACCCTAATTTTATCAAGGGAAAACAAGTCTCAACTTACCTCAGGGGCCCTGTAGGCTGGAGTTGTGTACTTCCTGATATTGTCTTCCTCAATCCCCATTTCTTCTGGCTTTTCAAAACGTTTGTGATTGGTGGAAGTGCTACCAAAATCACATAACTTCCATGAGCCATCTGAACTCAACAAAAGATTCTCCGCTTTCAAGTCTCTAGGAAACACAAAGGAATAAAATAAAGAGCAATTTATTAATCATAAAAAAAGAACCACATATACTTTCATTTTATTTGCCATGTTTTTTCAATGATGTCATAAAGAAGATAAAATTCAATCTCCGACAAAATGGAATGGCTGAAATAATATGATCTTAATAAAACAGAAATATAAAGACAGAGCATGTGTCTGAAGATTGAAAAATCATTTCATTGTCAGTACATATATTAGAAGCATAGGGCTATGAGCATATTATCTTGCACTTACAAATGAGAAACAAAATTAGTAAACCATGATTCAGAAGTCACTCATGGTGAGAGACAGACAGATAGACAACATAGGATTTTTGTTATGAAACAAATGTTTGAAAAAAAAAAAAATCCGAACATAAACTTTAATACATTTCAAATGATTGGATGCAAAAAGGAATTAAAGAATTTAGAATAATATAAAGAGCATCACAAATTTGACATTAAATCTTTTAGCTGGTGTTGTTTACCGGTGAGCAATAGGAGGGGACAGGCAGTGCATAGCAAAAACTGCGTTACATACATCCCTGAAGATTAAAAGAACCTGTTTCTCATCAAAATGACCAGCTCCACGACTCTCCAGCACATTGGCCAGAGACCTCTCACAAAATTCCATCACAAGGAATGCCTCCTTTGTCCTACCCATATCAAAGATAGCATGTGCATGAAGTGTGACAACATTGGGATGTCCTAACAGCATCTTCATCACAGATATCTCCTTCTTTACCAATCCAAGTGATTCTTCGTCATTGCATATAATGTGTTTCAAAGCATATTGCTTTGACATATGTACAACATCACGAGCTAGGTAGACACAAGAGAACCCTCCATCCGCAATGGCCTTAACAATGTTTATTTTAAGATTGCCAACATCTACAGTGCGTCCTTCAAGACCAGTATGCTCTTTGTGGCTGAATGGCTTAAATCTCCACATTTTTTAGCGAAAACAGAATAGGATGCTGCATATGTAAATTATAATAAGCTATAACTTCCACGGTTCTACGTCAAGAAAACAAAACAGGATGCTGCATATGCATATGATACAATGTAAATTCCCATGCTGCTGGCGGCACAATTTGATTATATCATATTAGCTTATTTAAGTCATTCACTCTTTAAAGAAAAAAAGGAAATATAACAACTAACAAAGAATGATCCCTAAATAAGAAAAAACTAGAATTACGCAGAAAAACTTTCATAACAATAACAAAGCAATACCCAATTTCCAAACACTCTTTAATATAGTAAAACGAAATGATTAGTGAGGGTTACATGGATTAACAAAAAACAAAATTTTCGTAGATCATCATAATAACACTTGCACAAGGGAACAACATCTAATAATTGCCGCACCCAGATAAAACTTACCCAGCTTAATAAAGCGGTTAATAAAATATAAGTGCCAAACTAAATAACCACACCATGAGTTCCAACAAGGCGATAACGCTAGGTCATCATTAAATATTCAATCACTAGCTCCTTATCCATAAGATCCAATCCAATAATAACAAAATGGTAATCGACACAAGATCAAAGAAGAAAAACACATTAAAAACAAAATAAAATACAAAAGCACAATCAATAACCTTCTAACCTAGAAAATTCCGCTTTATTGCTCCCAGAGAATGAGATCCTTCAATCCGAAATCCAGCTCAAATCGAATAGACCACGCCCTCGATCTGCATCCAACTCAAACACCATTGAAGATCACATAACTCAAATCACACACACAAAAAAAAAAATTACAATACGAATCTCGCACAAGTACTCAGAATTTCAATTTATGAAAAGAACAAAACTTTACGAAACTCACGATCAAATCTTGGGATTCTACTTGTTCACACCAGATTGAGGGATCAATAAGTTGGTCGAGAATTCGAATCAAATCTAACAATCCGCCATTAACTCGATGGATTGAGCTTCAGCTTCGGCTGCTAATGTTGCTTCTTCAGATTTGGCCAAGTGAAAAAGTGAGAAATGTGTGAAAGATATTTATATGGGAGGCGAAGAAGACAGGTTGATTGAGAAGATCTGGACCGTCAATTAGAAGATCGTAGGGCCAGCTAATGAACCGTGAAAGATAAGGTTGTACGATGAGCGTGCGCCAGAGAATAAAACAATCCTTTCGTCGATGTTTCGGTGAGAGTTGACGTGGGGTACACGCGATTGTGACTTTACCTCTTCTATCAGTGAGGAGAGGCAAAAGCTTTTAATCTAAGAAGTAAAATATTATTCACATTTTTTTAACACATTTTTATAATACATTTTTTACTAATTAAAAATTATTAAATTTTATACATTTTCATTTTCATTTTTTTTTCAGATTTTACATTTTTAATAAATTTTAATTAATTATTAAATAGGACAAATGACTAATTTATCCTTAATTTTACCAGTGAATATTAATTTAGTCTTTCAAAAATCTACTTTAATTGGTGTAAAAAAATATTACAGCTTAATAATAAAATAATTTCTAATTTAATGTCAAATTGATCTTTAAAAACATTCTTTAATAAGATTGTTAAAAAGTTAAAAATCATAAAACAATTCGTTAACATATATTTAATTTTATGAATGATTAATGATTCATTTGATATTTTTTCAAATTCAATAGATTTTTAATTAACATATGGAAATCAATCTAACTAAATTATTATAATTAAATACTTCTTAAGTTTACCTTTTTTAAAAGTTTACAAAAATATTTTTTTAAATTTGTTTTGCAAAATCTATTTAAAAATAGATTTAATTATTTTAATGAATTAATGAGATATTCATTCATAAAAAATGTTAATGATTCAATTGGATTTTTATAAAATGGGTGGATAAATTTTTAATGGATCAAAATAAATTAATAGACTTTTTTTTATCCGATCATTTATAATACTAAATGATAGGATGTAATTCATTACTTTTTACATCTTCATAATCTAAAATAAATATTTCATTATTTTAAGGAATAAATTTACAATTTTTTATATATCTAAGTACTATATATTGGTCATATACCCTAATAAATATATTAAAAAATAAACTTAATTGACTATAATAAAATTTATAATCAATAAAAATAATTAATATAATGAATTAAAATGAATGTAGTTGTTGGAACCAGAAACAGATAAAGCATCCCACCTTAAAATTGTTCAAATGATAACAAAGAGGAATAAAAATTGTGAACTAAATACAGAATGATATGATCTTTATTACAAAATCAAGACTGAATTGAAGTCATAGTTAGATAAAAACAATAAAGTTGAGTTCATTGTCTTATACGTGAGAATTTCCTTAGATAGCCTCTTCGAAAACATCCACCACACTTACCAGAAACAATGTATACTCTTTCAAATGTGTAATCCAAAAAGGAAGTGATATAGGAATGGTGCAATGAAAATCATGGAAAAATTTAACATCATTGATCATATTCTGAGACCATCTAGAAAGGATTCATTAAGGTCCCTGTTGAAAAACTTGCTGAAATACTCTGCATGTGTCAAATTCTTGTATACAGCTACGTTTCCTTCGCCTGTAAGCATGTCAGCAGGTCCAATGTTCATATGAGGGCTTGGATAGCAGAATGTCACTATTGAAAACCTTTCCTTCACCTTATTTACTACAGCTCTGTGCTCAGGTGCTTTGTATATCCCATTGCTCATCACCTGCATAATGAAAAAACAAGCAACATCAAACTCAAGCTTTTTTATTTTCATTTGTCTATGTAAAGGATTTTTACATTGTTATGTCGTTGAATTTGCTGATTCTTAGAATAACCACTTTCAAGTCATAAAAACAATGATTTCTAATCAGAGAGTCAATTTTTCTCGAGTAAATATCATTTTCCAAAGGACAAAATGTGATGGCAATTAATAATTATTAATATAATCCAATAGAGCTATTGCTTTATCCATTCATTTATCTGTAACACACTTGCAGTAGTCTATCCATGGTTGAATGTGCTGCTTAATGAATCACAAGTACAAACCTCAATAATTTGGCCAATGTTTACTACAATTGCCCCTTCTATAGGCTCAACATTGACCCATTTTTTATCTTTGAGGAACTGCAAACCGGGAAAGTCAGCACAATCAAGCAAGAGAGTGATCCCAGAATTGTCAGCATGGGGCACAATCCCAAGAACTCTTTCTGGCTCTGGACAAGGTGGGTAGCAATTCATTCTTATATCATATAGTCCTTCTCGGAAGCTTTCTGAGATCTGTGTATCTTGAAGACCCAAAGACATAGTAATGAACTTCATAATTGAAATTGTAACTTCTCTTATATCTTCAGAATATCTCTCTAATGTTTCCCTGATAATCAAATGCAAAATGACACCCTTAGAAGCATGAGAATAGAAATTTCACATTGGAACTTATTGACTAAAACAAACATGAGAAGAAAAAAAAAGAGCAAGGAAACAGGTAAGTTATTCAATGGATCCTCTCTAGCACATTATAGGGCCAAGATCTAACTTTGTTCTGAGTAAAAGTGTTGCTGAAAATATCATGATATAAACTGATTAAATGTCCCAAGGCAATGCTTTATTTGATTTATCCAATTTCTAACAGCTATTGGCATCATTAAGCTCTTATAGTTCAGATATTTATTATTCATGTACCTGAACTCAGGAGGGTTTTGTGGCCACAAATCCAATTTTCTGTTCTCAATGGGGAGGCATTTGAGAAAGATCATGTCATTCCAATCCAGCTTTTGATCCTCTGAGGTTACAAATGCTTGGCCATAGCCTTCAAGACTTCCTGGTCTCTGTGCCCATCTCTTCTTCTCTTGTAAAGGAAGCTCAAAAAATCTCTGAACTTGATTCCCCATATTCTTGAGGGACGTGTTTGAAATTCCATGATTTACCAGCTGGAGGCAAAAAAAGAAGAAAACCAAGTAAAAAGAAAGTAAAGAGAGATAATCCCTCCCTTACCTTACCTAGATTTCAGTTCAATTAGCTTTCTAATACCCAAAATGAGAAAAAATACACAACTTTGGCTTATGTTCTTCACTTTTCTGAGAATATAACATCTGACTGACAAGAATATTTCTTGATTAATTAAGAAAGAACTAAAAGGGAAAAGAATCTGAAGAAATGAAATTGACAATCAAACTATAAATTGAAATAGAAATGCTTTAGGTTGCATATATATACAGCTCGATCTATATTGCATACAACTTAATAAGTTGGCCATTAACTTCCATACCAACAACTAGAGAAAATTCTGAATTTACTATTACGGATATGAAGTAACTGAAAGCCATCTAAGAATAAATACTAATTCGTAGCTGTCTAGGAATATATTCTGAATTGGAATCAAAGGTGAAGGTGTTGATATCTAAGAAGTTCTTGTGGTACCTGAAAAACACCCCAGTCTTTACACGCAAGGAGAAGCTTTTGAAGCTCGAGTTGGTGCGTGTCTGCGTTGACCAACTTTGCCATGTCTATGAAGGGTACACGAAGAGATGGATCAGAAGGGTAAGTGCCAATAATGTCATCACCATCTTCATCTCTTATGTACCTTGGTGGCACTTTCTCTGGCCCTTGAAATGCTAACTCTTGAACACTTGGAACTGATACCGATGATTCAAGGTTAGATGGTGTTGAATCCATTGCCAAAGTCCCTTTGGGGCAATCAAGGGAGAAGATAAATGCACCACGCCACCACCCTCTTGCAAGCCCCCTTTGAACAAATTCAATGTTAGACGATCATTGAGTGCTTTTATCATGTTCTGTTCACTAGACAGATAATCTTTCGGTTTATATCACCATTATTCCTGTGAAGTTGAAGGACACAGTAAAGTTTATTTTTTTATTATTAAATTTTAGATTTAATTCATGTTTCAGGCATGTGAATTTTCAACTGTGTTTCTGTTTAATTACCTGGCCCGCAAAGTTTTTTTTTTTTTTCCCAGGAGACAAGTTTGAATTTCCAACCTTATACACAACAAAATTTTTTACACAACCAAAGACAAAAAGCTACTAACTGAGCCAAATTTTCAAACTGACCTTCTTTTGAACAGAGGAGGAACAAACCCTCAATTATTGTCGACATATATTGAACAATAGAAAGTAGCCATAATTCGAGATTATGGCATATACAATAAGAAAAATGTTCAATCCTCTCAAGAAATTATTGTTAAAGGCGAAACCTATTTAAGTGATATAGTCATGCATGTTGGAAATCTTTGAAAAAGAATTACCCTGATAATTTAAACATGTTAGTAATCGAATCAGATTCTAACATATACAATTTTTGTTCTCTTTTATAGAGTTTACTTACTTCCCAGTCTACAAATGATAGGAATACACTTAGACAACAAATCTATCTAGGACATCTAGAAAGACTTTCCATAACATACTTTGGAAAAATAAAAGAGTTTTTATAAGATTATCTCATGTATGCATCTATAGCTAGATGTTTTCATGATTTAAGTGTAGGAGAAAAGATGTTTCTCAAACTACTAGGAGCCAAAAAATTAGAGATTCCTAGAAAAATGATGAGGTAACTCCCATGTTGAATAATCTCTCGATAAGAATACAACACAACATGAAAGTGATGGAAGACACTTGCACACATATTGCAATACAAAAATAACTAAAAAATTTAGAAGCTGGAATTTGCAAACAAATATACACACCTCAACATATATAACAAAAATAGACAAAACAGGAGGTATGTATCTAGGAATAAACCTAGGTATAAGAAAAATTACAATCAGAATTTTAATTCTATAAAACAAAGATCTACTATATCTAGGAAAACTTATACGATAAGATCTTCAAATTCTAGAAAACCAACTTTAAATTCTGACAGACACATTAAGAAATTTAGAGACAATAAAACATACAAGCAAATTTTAAAATGTTTCGCATGTAATCAACCAAGACATTTCTCTAGAGATTGTCCTAATATTGCAAAACTTTACATAAAAAAGGCAAAACTCATAAAATCATGTCATATGAACCTTCTTCAAATTGATGAAGATGTTTCTACTGATTCTGAAATACTATCAGTAATTAGTATAACAGAATATACAGATGAAATCAACTTAGATAAAAGCCATAAAAATTATGAGTTAATAAATTATTTCACAAATAATGAATTCATACACCTCTATCCTCAGGAAAATGACTTCCAATTGGATAACAAATATAATAAATTAGGAGAAATATTAGACGATTTAGGATATTGTCTAATGAATATAATAGAGAAAAATACATGTTCTAATGACATACAATTTTTCTCAGGACCAGATCCATTCCTTGTCTATATTGTGAAAGATATTTTCAATCTCACAAAGGGCACATTGTTCCCTTTGTTATAAAAACTTCTGTATAAAATGTATAAAAATATATTTAGAAATACAAAAAATACCCACTTTCTTAAGAAAAGAAGAAAGCATAAAAGATAAAAGTTTAACTGACACTAGGACTTCTGTCTTAGAAACCAGATTAAATATTCTTGAAGAAAAAGTTTTTCACCTAGAAAAAATCATTAAAGGAAAAGATGTTGAGAAAAGTTCATCCCTACAAAACAACATGATGGGAACTACTGAATGTATCCCATTAGTTTGTAATAAAAAACAATTAATAATTGTAAAAGTATTAGTAAAATTGAACTTTCCACAAAAAAATAAAAATCCTGTCAGAGAAGAGATAATTCAAGCTCTTTTAGATACAGGATGTACCCCCATACATGATTACCAAGAGTAAACATGTACAAAAAACCAAAACTATGTCTGAAGAAATAATGATAAATGATAAAGAGATAAACAATATATCTCTTCAATTTAGCACAAATTGTGATCTATTTGGTCAAAAAATACACATTAAAATTATGCAAGTGGAAAATTTAGTTCCCTCTAAACAAAGCATGATTATAGGTTTATATTTTATTTTGGGTCAAAATCGAACTATCACTACTAACAAAGATTATGTTATCATCAGTTATAGAACACAAATGTCTCCTATAATTAGTGGTGACGGTCATAAAAACACAGAACAACCTATTAAAGAATGTTCTTGTGATAATCCTAAAGCTTCTAACTTATGTGATTGCATGAAAGAAGATTTGGAAAATATAGATTATTATTACACAAATATTGTTATGGAATCCTTTTCTTCCATAAAAATTTCAAAAACAATCACATTTGACAACATCCAACAAATTTTGGATATGTTAAATAAAACAAGCATTATAGAAGACCTTACAAAATTTTGGGATCGTGACCCTGTTATTTGCAAACTAAATATAATCAACTCTGATTTGATTATAAAAACAAAAGACATACATTTTAATAACTGAAAACAAGAAGAATGTCGATTACATATTGACAATATGTTAAAATAGAAAGTAATAACTCCGAGTGAAAGTTCTCATAGGAGTCCTGCTTTCATCGTAAATAAATCCTCAGAACAAAAAAAGAGGTAAATTTAGGATGGTTTATAATTACAAAAGATTAAATGATAATACAATTGAAGATGGATATACTATTTCATCTAAATATATTTTGATAAACCGCATCCAAAATGCAAAATGGTTTTTAAATTTTGATTTAAAGAGTGGTTTCCACCAAGTAAAAATGGACCCCAACTCAATAAAATAGACAAATTTATCTTGTTCAGAAGGACTATATGAATGACATGTAATGTCTTTCAATCTTAAAAATGCCCCAGCCATTTTTCAAAGAAAAATGGACAACATTTTTAAAGATTTAAAATCTTTTACTTGCATCTATATAGACAACATACTAGTCTTTTCTAAAACAAAAGAAGAATATTTTCTTCACCTTAAACATGTCTTGTACAAATTAGAACACTATGGATTAATAGTTTCTAAAAATAAACTGGAAATATGTAAAACTTTTATAGAATTCCTAGGAACGGAAATAGGGAATGAGACCATAAAACTCTAACCCCATATTTCCAAGAAAATCCAAGATTTTCCTGATAAAATGGAAGAAATAAAAACTTTAAGATCCTTTTTAGGACTTTTAAACTACCCAAAATTTTATTCCAAAATTGGAAAAATACACTTCTCCTTTATATAACAAAACTTCTCTTAAAGGAGAAAGAAAATTTAATTTTGAAGATATAAAATTGGTTCAGAATATAAAGCAAATGTAAATAAAATACTTATTTTACAATTACCATTAGATTTTGACTATTTAATAGTCGAATGTGATGGAAGTGAATTAGGATGGAGTATCATTCTAAAAAGAAAGAAAAACAAATATTCTTCTAAAGATGAAGAACAAATATGCAGATATGTCTCTGGTAAATATACTTTAAAACCACAAATCTATCAAACAAGCATTGACTATGAAGTCAACGCTATTATATATGCTCTTGAAGCATTTAAGTTATTTTTGATAAATAAACTAGAAATAACCATTAGAACTGATTGAAGCAATTGTTTCTTATGAAAAAACTAGAATCATAATGATAAAAAGTCACACAAGAGATGACTTCTTTTTAAAGACTATATGAATTCTGGAAAAACTATAATTTTGAACACATTAAAGGATCTGAAAATATGTTTGTTGATATCCTTTCTATGTACATCACATAAAGATAAAGGAGTAATCAGCCTTTACAAAAAAAAATCAAAATCATGAATGGATATTTGGTATTTGGACAAAATAACCCTGAGATTCCTCCGGGATATGGGTATTTGATAAGATCTATAGGATTTGCAGCTAACCATAGCCCAAACCCTACTATCGAAATTATAAAACAAATTAAAAAGTTAAAAAGAAAATTGATCAAACTACGTCTAAGAAGAGATGAGTTTTACGGACAAAATCCTCATAATTATACGTATGGGATTACCTTTTATGAGGTTAACATTAAGATTTTAGAAATAAAATTAAAGAAAATAAGTCATTTTGTTGCTTAATTATTATAACCTGTTTGTCTGATATTTTTCAGGTATAAAATCCTTAAAATGTATTCTATAAACAAAGGAAAATGGCATTTAAGTCCTAAACGTACAAAATCTCCTTTCATGGTGGAAAAATATATAAAGTATGGGAAACAAGAGTTACCCATGCTCACAAATATATACCATTATCCTAGTAGAGAAAATACAAATGTCAAATTAAATATTTTAATTGACAATATTTAGAATATTTCAAAATACACAACTCAAAATGAGCAACAAGTCCCTAGAATAAAATAAAGTATTATCAACACACTATACAATTTCTGCAATACAGATAATAAAGGAGTTTTGTTAACTTCACCAACCTCTCCTTCAGGGAAGGAGTTCACACATTTTGCCCTACTTACGGGGCCTAAAGGAGTATATACTTCATTTAAAGACCTCTCTGAGGTAAAACAAGACCAGTTTTGGTCTACTTACAAAATATTTAATTCCAAAGAAGAAACTCATATGACTTCAAGATTATAAACCTTTGATGAAGAAAAAATAAAAATAGCTCTATTATTATAACCAAAAGCTCAAACACAAACCTGTGCAGATGTCTGTAACATTCCTGCTCAAATAAATCCCAACATTTTCTTAGCCAAGTTTTGTGTCATACAAGAATTTCGGTTTGAAGTCCATTCAGAGGCCCAAAATTATAATGGGCTTTTTATAAAAACACAAACATATTTCAATACAAGAAACTCGTGTTTAGAATCTTCCAAATACTACAAGACAGTAACTACAAATTGCACGTGTCAAATAAAATTCATCTTTAGAAGGACTAAAATTGATTTGAAGACCTTCAAAAATCATCTGTATCAAAAGCTTTTGATAAGCCCACAACTATTACTTGAAGCTAGATGTCTACAAACTCTCTCCATACCACCAACAGAGAGATTTCACTCATTAACTTTAGAAATAAACTTTGTAGCAAATGAGATACAAGCAGAACTTATGACAAATGTCTGCTTACACATCACCTCTTCTTCCAGAAGTGCTACATCACTTGACAGTGTGGCTAAACACGTAGTGAAACTCTACACGGAAGCAAATCCGGAGATACACGCCATAATGGAACATGATCCATTAAAAGGACTTTCCCTAAATAAAGACAAGCTATACCAATACCAACTCTGGAAAGCTTACATATAAGGATCTAACTGGAATTTCTCAAAAAGAGATATTTCATATTTCATTCTTCTTAAAGAAACGACCGACACCAAGTTGTATTGGAAACCGGCTTATGGGAAACAAATTTCGTCCTTTCCCCATTGAAGCCAGCCCCATTCTGGTGAAACATTTTGAGAAAGAAAAGATATACAAAGAAATTTATGAAGAAACAGGAGTTCATGGACAAGAAACTTCTGGAGCTTCATTCCCCTCTGATAATGAGGATACAAAATACACAGATCAAATGATCGAAGAAGAAATTGGAGACTTAACTTGTGTAACAACTACTAGAAGATGTCTTTAGATGTTTTTACCTGTGACACATTAATTTTGCTCTTATTGAGTAATAGACTGAAGGGTAAAAACTTACTACAAAAGTACCCGGTCATTAGGAAACCGGAACAATATGTTACTAGTAATTAGGTAACTGATACAACAAGTTGCAAGTTGCAAGATTTTTCTATAAAGAGCCTGTAAGTCCCTTATGCCGGGCAAAACTCCGAAAACCTCTCTCTCTACTCTCCCTACTCTCTTCTACCCCCTCTCTCACATGTATATTTTTGATAAATAATACTAGAAGAATTCTAGACTTCCACATACTTCCTCTTCCCCTTATCTGAGTAAGTTTATCTTCTTTATGAAGTAGTTTTTTTTAAGGTGTCTTCGGATGCCTTACATAATATTTATTAAAAGATGAATAGTCATTTAAAGACTTAAAAATCTTTTGTATAGTTATTTTCATGTTTATATAAGCTTATAAGAAGATGTCTAACCAGCTATGTCAAATTCAACGTCTCATAATTTTATGTTGAACTTATTATTTGTTATTTTTTGTCATTTTTTTGTATATTTATATTTTCATTTGTTATGTATATTTATATTTTCATATTCATATAAGTTTATGAGAAAATGTCTAACCAGTTATGCCAAATTCAATATCTCATAATCTTATCATGAACTTATTAGTTATAATCGACTTTATTTCGGACAGTCTTAAAAATGTCCCGACCATTTTTAAAGAAAAATGAACAATATTTTTAAATATTTAAAATATTTTACTTGCATCTATATAGACAACATACTAGTCTTTTCTAAAATAAAAGAAGAACATTTTCTTCATCTTATCTTAAACAAGTCTTGTACAAATTAGAACATTATAAATTAATAATTTCTAAAAATAAAATGAAAATTTGTAAAAATTTATAGAATCCGTACAAATAGAAATAGGAAATGGACGATAGAACTCTAACCCGTATTTCCAAGAAAATAAAAAAACAACTTTAATCTAAAATAAAAAAACTATAAAAATCATTATGTTTATTATTTTTTGTATTTTCCATATAATTTATTTAAAATAAATTATCAGAGTCCACAAATATTGAGTTTGTCCTTTCTTGTGTCAGAAATTATTGTTGCCGGTAAAACATATGGAGCACGTCTCAGTGTCGGACAAATAGAAGCTCTACTCGGCCGACCCACCCACGATTCCATCCTACCATCGGTTTCTTTTCCACTTCAACTTTTCGTTCCTCCCATCCTCGTTTGTCGTCCATTTTGCTGCAATATTTGTTTCTGCATTTTTTCTCCTGAATTTTGGTGCTTCAATTTTGCTGCAAACTGGCTATGGACTACGAACCCTACGATAGTAGTGGTGAGTTTCATTTTAAAGTTTCCTACTTATCTCCTATCTGCGCCATAATCTTTAAGACTTGTTTTAATTTTAGAGTTAGGGCTTTGTTTGAGTTTCATTGTTTTGCTATTCTCAATTGACCCATTTTGTTTTATTCTTTTTTGAGTGTGGGGATTTCAATTGGCGTCAAATTGTAGGGTTTCTTGCGTTGCTTGTGGAATCGGAGTATGTAAAAGCGAGTAACTTTAGAGTTTGTTTGATCAAGGGGTATAGCACCAATGGTCCGTTTTATGTGACTTGACCTAAAGGACAAAAGCATTAATGTTTTACCTGAGTGGGTTTGTTCTATGGGTGTTCTTGGAAATATTGCTGTGATTTCGATTGAGGTAAAGAGGACGGTAAATTGGTTAAGTGGTTTGAGATTTTGTGTAAATAGAGCCCATTGAAAGCACTAGTGAGAAGAGTAAATTGAATGGTTTATATTACTATGAAAAGGGGGAGAGAGAGACCTAAGAAGAACCTTGGAGAAAATTGTTAAGCGGGATTTCATGGGGAATACTATTCCTAAGAGTTTGGTCTTTAAACTACCTCAATGGTGGTGAGCGATTCATGTAGCCGACCTCATCTTGGGGGCTGGTGATGCGATAAAAGTAATTCTACGAATTGACTCACTCGACCTCACGGTTCTGTGTTTGTCAGCCAACTGTTTCATCCTCTCTTGTGCCCTTCTTAGATGAAACTTGATTATCTTTAATATCTCTTCTCTTTTCATCAAACTTCTATCCACTAATTCAACATTTGATTCTCCTGGAAAGTAACGGGTCGGCTGCCTTTAAACAATCTCATAAGGAGTCGCTTTGGTTGCTGTATGATAAGTATTATACCATCATTCAGCCATGGGTAACCATCTGAACCATTTATGTGGTGTCTCTGCACACATACATCTGAGATAAGTCTCTAAGCACCTGTTCACCACCTCTGACTGTCCATTTGTCTGCTGATGATAACTAGTTGAGAGCTGAATTTGAACCCCCTGACAGCCATAAATTCTTGCCAAAACTGGTTTACAAATATAGGATCCGTATCACTTGTAATAGAGTCTGGACACCCGTGGAGCTTAAATACATTGTTCATAAAAGCTTGAGCTACGTCGGGAGCCGTATAAGGGTGAGTCAAAGCTATGAAATGAGCCGCTTTACTCAACCTATCTACCACCACAAATATGACTTCACTTCCCTCTGACTTAGGTAGTCCTTCAACAAAATTCATTGTAATATGTTGCCAAACATTATCTGGTACAGGTAAAGGCTGCAACAATCCTGGGGTAGATACAGTTTCATTTTTACACTGTTGGCATGTAGAACATTGTTGGATGAATGTTTTGACATCATTCATTAACCCCTTCCAGTACATTATAGCTTTTACTCTTCCCATGGTAGCTTTTCCTCCTGAATGGCCCCCTGTGGCCGACGCATGTAACCACTAAAGCAACTCTTTCTTAAGTTGTGGATCCTTCCCTACAACCAGTTTTCCCTTTCTTCTCAACTCCTCATTCACCCATCTATAATGTTTATGTGAGCCTTGGGCATTTTGGACTTCCTTAATGAATTTTTGCAAACTCTCATCTTGCTGCCAAGATCAATGAATTCTGTTAACCAAATCCGAATGGAATTGTTGCCTTATTAATTGATTACACTCCACCAAAGGCCTCCTTGATAGCGCATCCGCAAAAGCATTTTCTTGTCCCTTCTTGTGTTCTATCTTGAAATCAAACTTCATGAGTTTAATTAACCACTTTTGCTGAAAATTTGTAGTTAATCTCTAGTTCAAGATAAATTTGAGGCTGTCATGATCTGTCTTAATCACAAAGTGTCGATTAAGTAGATAATGTCTCCATTTTTGCGCTGCAAAAACCACGGCCAATAGCTTTTTCTCATATGTAGATAGAGACTGTTGCTGTAAATTTAATATCCTACTGATGTAAACTATAGGATGATGGTCCTACATCAGCACAACTCCAATTCCCCTCTGGATGCATCAACTTCCACCACAAATTCTTTAGCAAAATCTGGTAATGCTAGAACAAGCATATCACTGACTAATATTTTTAATTCCTAACGTGCTGCTTTCGCTTCATCGGTCCACCTAAAGTTATCCTTTTTTAGCATGTCAGTAAGGGGCTTGGCTATCATTCCATACCCTTTAACAAACTGCCGATAGTACCCTACCAGTCCCAAGAATCCTCTCAACTGCTTAATGGTCTTTGGCAAGGGCCATTGCACCACTGCTTCAATTTTTCCAGGATCAGTGGTTACTCCTTCTCTAGATATGAAATGACCCAGGTATTCCACTTTCTCCATAGTAAAGTAACATTTAGAACACCTAGCAAACAAGTGGTTCCTTCTTCATGTCAATAAAACCGTCCTCAGATGGTGTAAATGTTGTTGCAAATTCTCACTATATATAAGAATGTCCTCGAAGAAAACCAGCAAAAATTTTCTCAGAAATTGTTGGAAGATGCCATTTATTAGACCTTGAAAAGTTGCAGGTGCGTTGGTAAGCCCAAATGGCATTACCACGTACTCGTAGTGACCCCCATGAGTCCTAAAAGTTGTTTTGTGCACATCCGCAAAATCCATTCGAACTTGATTATACCCAGATCTGAGATCAATCTTAGAAAAGATTGTTGAGCCATATAATTCATCCAATAAATCTTCAACCAAGGGAATTGGAAATTTGTTCTTCACTGTATTCTTGTTCAACTCCCTATAATATACACATCCTCCATGCCCCATCCTTCTTATTGACCAACACCACAGGACTGGCATACGAGTTGGGGCTATTTCGAATTATACCGGACTTCAAATATTCCTGAATCAACTTATCCAAGATATCCTTCTAGTTTTTCGCATACTTGTAAGGCCTTATATTAATCGGATTGGTTCCTTGCACCAGGGGTATTTGATGATCATGATCCGGTCGAAAAGGAGGTAGCTAAGTTGGTTCTGCAAAAACATCGTCAAATTCATGTAACAATTGAGTTACTTCTTCTGCTACTGGCAACGAAGTAGCGTGGGTAGTTAGCGCTTGTAATAAGGCACCTTCTTCTCTTACATGCAACATGGAGATATGCACACCTTCATCCAAATCCGTTTGAAAATGTTGTTTTTTAGCCGTTTTCAACCCCCAGAAGAAGAGCCGTGTAAGACATGTTTTCTTCCATGAATCTTGAAGCCCGTAGTCAAATGATTAAAGTTCCAAGTGATATCCCCTAGAGTAACTAACCATTCAATGCCTAGGATAATATCGCAACAACCCAAGGGAATTAAAAACATATTTGTTTTAAACGTGATTTGTTGAATAGTGAAAGAAAAATCTTTCACCATTGAAGATGTTTGAATCTTGGAACCATCTGTCACTGCCACATTTAGACAATCCATTGCCTCAATTTTACAACCATATCTCTTGGCAACATGAATATCCAAGAAATTGTGTGTACTGTCACTATCAATAAGGATGTGCAATGGTTTCTTGTGATAGAAACCTGTAACCTGCATTATTTGAAAACTAGCTATACCCGTTATCGCATTAACAGAAATATGAGGCTCATCCATTGGCCTTGTTATTTCCTCCTCGGACGCATCTAACACATAAAGTTGTAATTTCTTGTGTGTTAACCCATGTTCGGGGGAAAAGGGAGTATCACAGAAGTAGCATAAACCTTTTGCTATACGTTCATTCATGTAAGTTGGAGTTAAATGTTTACCCGGTACCAATTTCAACATATTCTTGTCTTCAACCATTGAAACACTCTTGTCCAGGTTTGATGGTTTGGGGCCTAACACCCCTAAGTGTTGTCGACTGCCAATTGCAATTGTCTTGCTTGAAAAGTTACCTGTCTCATATAATCTTGCTGGCGAAAAAGCCTTGTGGACCATAGTGGGCTGGAACATATGAACCATCATTTGCGTATCTTTCTTGAGACCTCCCAAAAAACAGCTTAGGGAGTATTTTTCCGATAGACTCAATCGGTTAATAATGGTGTCAAACTCCTCATAATATTCCACCACTGACTTTTTTTGGTGTAGCTTCATCAAATCAGCCATTGGGTCAGCACCCACGTCTACAAATCGCTCAAGAACCCGTTGTTGGTATTCTTTCCAAGACCAAATGGTACAGTCGGTTGTTTTGGAAATTGTTGAGTGCACATTGTTGAATGCCACTGGAGTGCACGTCCCTCTATATGGACAATCGCTAGCTTAACTTTAATCTTGTCAGGAGTGTTATCAATGAGAAAAAAATTGTGATATTGATAAAGCCATTGATGAACATTATCACCATTAAAACAGGGAAAGTCAATTCTTGCTAAACTTGTGCCACAAGAATACGTACGTTGATCCATTCTTGTCCCCGACCTTGTAGTCTCTATATTTCTTTTGAGTAATTCTTGCAAGGTTTCTTGCATAGCAATAGCCAAAGTATTTTGTATAGATCTTGCCAAACGTTCTTCCAATCGTGATGCCAGTTTTTCTTCCAACTCCTTCATTGTTGTAGCACTTCGTGTGGAACTGCCATGAAGAAGGTGGTGGACAAGGACCAACCTGACTCTGATACCAATTGATGCGATATAAGTAATTCTAGAAATTGCTCACTCAAAGAATTACGGAAAATAGGGAACCAAGGAATGGAGGTCCCAAGAATGTTATTAAGAAAGATTTATAAGAGAGAATACTATTGAATGAAAAGTGGTGCCCTATCCAGTTTGACGTGGCCTTCTTTAATAGCTATCTAACCAACTGTCAGCCTAACCGCTTAACAGCTGTTGCTGTTTTTATTATAACAGCTGGACTTTTTTTGTTGTTTTTATCCCATGATTAAGGTAGTAATCTCAACGGGAATTTGCTTGTTAGCTTGTCTTTCTTTGGACTGTTAAGGAAGAAAAGGGTGTCTTCTGAACCAGGACATTTTCATGACTGGAGAGGCATGGAAAGTAAGCACCTGCCTCATTAAAGAAACGCATCAGAAAGAAGAATGCACGAAATTATTTGGTAGTTTTGCATTAATGTGGCATATAAATTTAACTTCTTAAGCTTGACATTTCTTTTATAAATGTAGAGATAAAAATGTTACATTTCAAAATTCCAAACTTATTCCTGCATATAGTTTCAACGCTTGTTTAGACACTTCTGATGGCTAAGCCTCTTGAGTTTCTTTCATTTTGTTAGCAATGAACCACTGTAGTCATGCCTTATCTTATTCATCAGCAGGTGCTGACCCCTTCTGCTGCCTTGGACTATTCCTATTGATGGTTTGATTGAGATGTAGTGTCTTAAACCTTTCAAACTTAATAGCAAAGGAACATATGGAAATTTATATCCATTTGTTTACAAGGACTTCAATTTTTTCTTTTTTTCTAAATAAAATGTTTATGCTCTCACGTTCCTTAAATACCAACACTTTTTACCGCATTCCCCATCTTTTTTCTTTTTTGGAACTATTGTGTACACAATTCTCTATATGACAGTGTTTTGGAACTATTGTGTAACCATGATGAAATTTTGATGCTTTTAGTTATTTATCTTCTACCTTCAGATAGTATTTCTTATCAAGTTAATTGTTTTAGTTAGTGGTTTGTGTCCTAACTTTGAAGGAATAGTAAATGCATGTGTTACTCTTGATGCTCTGAACTGCTCTTACAAAATTTTTCTTGAGAACCAGATAAATTTTTCACCAATGCCAAAAAAATTGTGGTTGATACCTATTTCAGGGATTCATGATCTGGCCTCACATGTTATACTTACATTACGTGGATTCACTTGATTGCAGGAACTGATGATGATCTTCCACCAACTCATCAAAATAGAATCCCCAGAGGAGCACGTCCTGCAATGAATGGAAGATCTGCAGGAGCTTCATACCCCATGATGTATGGCGAAATTGATATGGAAAGTCAAATTCACCAACTTGAGAAGGAAGCATACAGTTCAATTCTCCGAGCCTTCAAAGCACAAGATGATGCCATTACTTGGGTATATTCTGGGATTTGATTTGCACATATCTAATATATTTATAAAATTGTGTGATGATTTGATCAGGTTTGATCAGGTTTAAATGACTGCCAAATGACGTGTATTTCTTCAGGAGAAGGAAAGTTTGATTACAGAACTTAGGAAAGAACTAGGATTATCAAACGAGGAACACAGAGAACTTCTAGGTCAAGTTAATGCAGATGATGTAATACGAAATATAAGGTCTGATAAAAGTGTGAAACATGGCTTCTTTTTTAACTATGCTTCAGAAGTGAGATTTCCATTGCCTTGAACACATGCACATTTATTTTGTTAATCAACACCTTATTGAACATTATTTTAGGGAGTGGAGACAGGCAGGAGGCCATCAGCCTGGTATGCTGAATATTGGGCAAGCTATTCATGATTCAATTCCAAGTGCCACCGTCTCTGTACCTCGAAAGAAGCAGAAGATAATGCCGTCAGCTCCTTCAGAATCTTTTGGTGGGCCTTCTCCATTTCATCCCCAACCTGTGGCTGCACCCCTTCAGCCATCTTCGGTGGCAAAACGAGGATCAGTTTCTGGATCTAAAGGCAAGAAGCACAAACCTGTAAGCAAATGATAAATTCAGATAGTACTCTTCATTTCTATTTAGCTTTACTGAGCTTGGGTTTACCTCCTATGCAGGTGTGGATTACACTTTTTAGTGCTAAGGAATAATAATTAAACAATATTGTTGTTTACTTGCAGGGCCAAGTATTACCGGGTGTATCTTCAATGAAGCAATACCCTTCATCAGGACTTGGTGGAAGGAATCATAGAGCACCTTCTGGTGTTGTCATGGGTGAGCTCTCTAAGGGAGCATCACTGGATTCACTAGTTGGTAGGAAAGTGCGAACACGATGGCCTGATGACAACAACTTTTATGAAGCTGTTATATCTGACTATAATAGAGCTGATGTACTTACATTCCCCCACTTAGCTGAGAATTTGTTTGTCAGTTAGTGTGTGGCTGAGATGCTTATGTTTACTTCTTAGTTTTCAGGGTCGACATGCTTTGGTCTATGACATGGGGACTGCAAATGAAGCATGGGAATGGGTTAATCTGTCAGAGGTATATCTGATACCAATTGCTGTGGTGAATTTCTCATGTACTTATCATTAATACATCATCACAATGTTATAACGGTAAAATTATGGTTGGAAACATGTTTGGATTAAGAAACTTGAAATGGAAATCAAGCAGTAAGAGAACAGTCAGACATTAATGTTCTCATGACACCCCCACCCTCAAAAAAGGTTGCTCATAATGTTCCATTTCTTTGTAAAAGAGGTTTATAATTATCTCTGAAAGTGATCAAGCGTGTATCATGTATGTGGCAGCAAAAATTCATCTATTATCAACTAAAGAACATTTTACTAGAATTAATATTTCATATTTATAGAAACAAATGGTTGAGCATTGCCAAAATGGTCTATTATATTACTTAGGAATTTAAACAAATTCATTTTTATGCCATGGTGTTATTATTATTATTTATATTTTAAGAATATCAATTTATATTTTGAGAAATATCAATGTGTAGTTTAATACCTTTGACTATATTTGTATGAATTTGATAGGGACTTGGGTGTTAAGGGTGCTTAAATCCAACATCAAGTAGTATGGGATTTTTAATGGAGTATTTAAGTACTAGTTCTGTCCTCTTAATTGCTATCTTTTGAGGGAGGGTTCACCTTGTACTTAGGTTCTTATAAATTGTTATCAGAATTGGTTGTCAGAGTCTCAGAAAGAGCTACCTACATAGAGTTATGATTTGCGAGGAAATTGATGGAGTATCACCATGTAAATTATTGTAGGGTGAAAGATTCCGAGACATTGGCTCCTAGAGAAGGTGTAGGGACTTGGGTATGATGAGGAACCAACGTCCCACATCAAGTAGTATAGGATGTCCGATGAAGTATTTAAGTGTTTGGTTCTTTTCCCTTGATAGCTAGCTTTTGAGGTGGATTCCCTAAGTACGTTGGTTCTTATCACAATTAAAGGAAATAGCTACCCATAAAGACAACGTACCTTGTGCTGCTCTTTTTTTTCTTTTTAATTTATTTTATTTTTGGCATTTATTACAATTCTTTCATTTTTAGCATTGAAATTGAGAATGAAAACTGGCTTAATACTTCGAAGTTAATAATTCAGCTACTGATACTATATGAAAAGAAATATGTGCTCAAATTTGTTTTAAATTTTCATTTTCTTTAAAGCCTAATTGTTGTGGTTATTTGATTTTCATAATATGGAAGCACTGCTCTTCCATTTAATGTATGTAGTGAATGTACAATACTGTGTAGAATATGGATTTTCCATCCACTTGATATGCGTTGCATTGTTAGTACTGTAATGTTTTAGCTTATTCAAATATAGTATTGTTAGTGCAGATCTCTCCTGCAGATATTCAGTGGGTAGGTGAGGATCCTGGAGTCAATCATGGTGGGGGTTTTGGTGGATCTGGTAATGGGATGATTAGGTCTGTAGGACGTGATAGTGTTCCAGGAGCTGTACGAGGTAGGGGAACCGCAAAGGGGCAATCCAGAAAAGATTTCTTTCCATCACAGAATGGAATAGGCAAGAAGGCTGTAGATGATATACACATACTTCACACAGACACGCTAGTGAAGAAGGTTACCGAAGACAGTTCAATCAAAGTACTACTCTTTGAGATTGTTTGATCTTTTTTGACATATTACGTATCTGGTGAACTTGACAGGTGGAGAGGGTATTCAATGCAGATCATCCTGATGCACTTGAAATTGAGCAAGTCAAAAAAGTATTGAAGGTAAGGGACAATTATATATATGTCAGTCTAACATTTCTTTTATTTTCTTGTAAATGGTGTATGTACAGATAATTGATATGAAATAAATGCAGGATCACGAGCAAGCTCTTGTTGATGCAATTGCGAGACTTGCAGATCTTTCTGATGGCGAAAGTGGTATTTTTCTGTTCTGATTCCTTTTTGCAATACCATCTGACATTCTTCCTTTCATGAATGTTCTTCTAAATTAAAAATTAGAATATTGTGGACATTAATGGAACTAATTAGTGCTCAACAATCCTAAATAAGATTATATCAGCATCATATTTCTGTAAATATGATATGAATTGGGATGCTGGCATAATACAGTTTACAGTCTGATTTTTTTTTTATTGTTACTTAGAGTGGATGATTTCAACTCATTTCCATGCTGCACTAAGGAGTGACCACATATTTTGCAGTGTGTCCAATCATGGCACAATTTTGTTGAACCTTGCAAGTGTAAAGTAAATTCGGTTGCATATCATATTTACCCCAAAAAAATTCCATACTTTTTGCTTCCCTGTTTCTCCTGCTCAAACAACCATAGCCTATATATTTAGTGATATGCTTACCAAGTTCTTTTTTTTATATTAAAAAAGTAATGTCATTCTCATTCAAATATGAATTCTTTGTATAACCTTTCTTGATGTTCTTATTGTTTATACAGATGAGGATGGCCACCATTTCGCTCATGCTCAAGCAATGGAACAATAATGTGGAAGACCATCTTTGTACACAATGGACAGAGGTGGCATTATGGTCTGAGTTCCTCATGTTATTATGCTATAAAGGATCATTTCCCTGACAGGCTTGGTTCTTTAGCATGTCATTTAAATTGAAATAGTTTGAAAAATTAGGTAGTTTAGTAATTGATTATTCATGAGGTTTTAAGAATTGACCAGGATCCTCTGATGTTTGTACACAACCATGATAATGTATAAATTCTTGTATTTGTTGTGTATTATGTATGGATCCACTCTTCTATTATCTATTACTCTGACTTTTATACAGGACCATGTTCAGAAAATTACTCACACATTTTAATGGTTTGTCGAACTGATTATTTCCTCTAAAATATCCTCAGTTCGGTAATTAACTTTTAGTCAGAAATAATAAATGCTAGAAATTAATGAGATAAATTCCTTTTATATCTTATTAGTGTAGGATAAGACAAGTAGTAGTTCGACCGAAACAAATTTATATATATTAGTTTTAAAATGCTAAGGTTAATTTTAAGAAAATTAACAATTTATTGACAAAACTAACGTCACTAATTAAATTAGGTAATCTTTTTAAGAATATAAAATAATTAAGAGGGAGATTGGTAGAAGAAAAGGTTTTAGTTTCATGAAAATCTGGAATTGGAGAATTATCAGGAAACAATATCATCTGGCTGGAATGGTTCACAGAAATATTCCTGTGAGAAAAAGGTGAGAAGTTATCTTTTTTAGTTGAAATATTAAAACCAACAATTAAATATATTATTAGGCAATTTTTTTGGTCAAATATAAGAACTAATATTTTTTAAGATGTTGAGAAACGCCAAGCCAGTTGTAAAGAAAATATAAAGAAAAGTATATGTGAAAAAAAAATATATATATATATATATATATATATAAAATAAAGTTAAAAAAAAAATATTTCAGAAAGTAAATTTTCATTTTCAAAAACAATAAATAAAAAATAAATAATTACTATATGAACATACTCTGGCATAATCTGCGTCATCCCTCGCTAAAAGCCCACTCAAGTTCATATTTCTTATAAGAAGAGCACTCTGAAATAAAATGGTTTCATAGATTGGAAGCTTTTCGATACACAGGATCCTCTTTCGAGGCAAGTGTAGAGCATACTTGCATCTAAGTGGGGAACGATACTAAGAATTATTAGCTTCAAGCTTTCAGAGAAGAGAAAACTTAGAGAGAAAGCATTTTAAAGAGAACTTGTATTGATTTCATTTGATTGAACTATGCCTTCAACATTACAAGTATCCCTTATTTATAGCGAAAACAAACACACTGAATTCAAAGCTTCGCTAAACTAAAATGAAATTCTGAACTCAAACTTATCATACAAGGTGGAATCCGAAGTCAATTATTCAAACTATGGCCCACACATCATAATGGCCTTACAAAGGACAAAACACCATGATTCACACTTTATTTAAAGTCATACGTATGGACAAAGTAGAAAAGATAAGATAAGATTCGAAAATGATGTCTTATCTCTTCATGGAAAGTAAAGTTGATCCAGACTTATCTTCATTAACACGTTTGCGGTAAACGCAATAGACACGTGTAAAGATAAGGGAATCTTGCTTTAGTAGCATGTCAGAATGACAGCCATTAACTAAAGCCTTTACTTTAGTCAGATCGGGTGGAGCCTGAGTAGTTCATCTGTTGTGCTTCACTCCTTGTCATGCTTCCATGTAATGGGTCCCAGTAAGGGTACATCTTTTTATGCATTAACATTTCTTCCATCAGATCTTCGTTGATATCTTCTGCTAGATCTTCAACTTTCTGGAAGTCTTCATCTGGGACGTTCATCTCTGCTCTTCTTATCTCTTGGGATTTGTCTTCTTCTGGAGTGATTTGATTCAACTGGTATGTGTCAGATGGTCTCTGGGATGAGCTGGCAATGTTGGGGTCTACTGGCTTTGGTTGATAATGATTTATTTCACAAAGGTGATGCGCCAGTTGTGCACGGTAACTGTTATCAAGTGGATAGGTGTCAAAGCTAGCCCATAGGTAAGCTTCATTTTTTGACCAAAGGGTTCCAGCTGGATTCATGAAGTATGGACGGTGGATGATGAAGATAGATGTCAAATTCTTGAGAGAGTCTTCAGGAACTCCTTTCCGCTTTTGACTGGCCTATGATCTCCTTAAGCCGTTGTCTCCACCAGGGTATTGGAGAAAACCATTCGAGCAATGTCCAAAAAAGGAATTTGTCTTTATACGGATGTGTCAAAATATTGTAAGCTGTTTGAGCCTTTAATGCAATAGGAATGGAGTATTGAACTGTATCGCACCAAATGGTCCAAAGGGTAGGCTCACAAAGGTCCCAACCAGGTTCACAGAATAGTTCAAAAATTCCCCCAAAGGGAATATCAGGATTGAACGATGAGGCTGAAATTACTTTGTATCTGAGGGTTTCATGTAAAAAGTAAAAATATCTGGTTCTGGCATAGTGGAGAATATCAGCTGGTGTGGTTGGGTTTAAACCGGGTGGATAAATTTTGACAGTTTTGGCTTTATCTGAGAGAGGTTTGACCATAAGGATAAGAGGAAGACTATAAGTGTCAACTATTAATTGGACATTCTTTTTTGGTCTAGACCAAAAGTCTGGAACTGTGTTTAGGTTTCCTTTAATGTGCTTAACAGTAAAATCATACCTGGAAAACCAGTCCATTAGCCTGAGAATCTGAGGATTAGGAGGCATCTTGTTCTTGAACTCCAAGATCTTCGGGAATGAAGAGTTGTCCATCTGAACTTCAAAGTGATATCCTCTAAGATGGAAGTCGAACTTTTTTATGCCATTTTTGACTGCTAAGGCTTCCTTGAACGTGGTGTGATAATGTTTTTCTGCATCTTTGAATTGTCCACTTGCATGTCCACAATAGTATCTTTTTCCATTTTCTTCTTCAATGAGTACTGCTCCCCAGTATTCATCGCTGGCATCAGTCTGCAATATTCTTTTTCCATTGCCTGGAATTTTCAGAGCAGGAGGAGCTTGAGCTATCTTCTTCAGTTCTTTAATAGCTCTGGTTTGTTCTGATCCCCATGGAGGTGGATTCTTCTTTAAGAGCTTGGACAAAGGACTTGTATTTCTTGCAACATTAGGGATGAATTCCCTGATATAATTGACTATCCCGAGAAATTGTTGGATCTGTTTGATGGTCAGATTTTCATCTGGGAAGTTGAGAAGTTCTTCAGCAATGTGAGGTTGAGGCTGATAAGATCCATGACTGAAGTGCATTCCTAAAAAGTCAATTTCTTCTTGGGCAAGGTGGATCTTTTTCTCTGAGAGCATTATCCCATGTTGATGGGCTATGTTAAAAAATTGATCCAATAACTGTTTATGAGAGTCCATGTTTGGTGAGAACAATAAAATATCATCAATGTAGACAATTGCTCTATCTAATATGGGCTCGAAGATTTTGGTCATGGCCTTTTGAAACAGTGATGGGGCTGTTTTAAGCCCAAAGGGCATTACTTTCCATTGGTATTGGGCATTGGGTATGCAAAAAGCAGTTTTGTATCTATCAGGTGGGTCAATGCCTAATTGCCAAAATCCGGATTTGAGGTCGAACTTAGAAAAGATATGGGCTTCTTTTATCAAGATGGGTAAGGATGAAGCTTTGGGTATTGGGAATTTATCATCCTTAAGAAAACAGTTAAGAGGCTTGTAGTCAATTACTAACCTCTTTTTCCCTCTGATTTTTTCGGACCTCTTTTCTACATAGAAGGCTTGACAGGCCCAATTGGATTGGGTTGGTTCAATCAGGCCTTGTTTCAACAGTTCTTGACATTCTTGTCTTGCTAACTGTAGGTCTGAGGGAGACATTCCTGGGTGAGTAGCTTTGGTTGGATTAACATCTTCGTTGAGCTTGAAGGGTAATTGTACAAAGAAATTAGAATTCTTCCATAATGGCTTGGGATGAGAAAATTCTTCATGACTGTTGGCACACAGAGAGGTTAACTTTTGTTTTATCTCTTCAAGTTCTGGAGGAGCTTCAGAGAGAGAAAAGAGTCTTGGTATCTCTGTAAAAAGCTTGAATTCTCTTTTGAACTTGATTCCTTTAGGAAGTATTTGAAATCTACTAGTCATGGAGAAGATGTCCATGCCTATCAATATGTCTTTGTTGGGAAGCTTACTTCCTATAACTTTACTCCAAACAGTGCATTCTGGAAAGAATTTAATTCCGATTGGAGCTCTGGTTATTAACTCAGTCTTGAAGACTTTTCCGTCAGCTGCTACAAAATAGGAGGCTTCTTTCTTCCAAAATTCTTTGGGAAGAATATCAGGATCCATCATGGATTTCTGTGCTCCAGTATCAATGTAGGCTATGGCTTGGATAGATTTGTCATATTTAGACGGAAGAATTTGAACTTCTAAACAAGGTTGAGGAGGAGAGACATTGATGAGGTGAGTT